CCGGCCGGGCGGCCGCGGGGCGCCCCGGGCTCCGCGCCGGGCGCTGGGGCGCCGTGGCCTTGGCCGTGCCCGTGGCCGTGCCCGCCGTGCCCGCCTGGAAAGAGAGGCCGGGGCAGCGGGCGCCGGCGTGGGCGGGGGAGCGCGGCGCGGAGCGGCCGCCCCGGGGGTTGCTGCGGCGCTTGGGGCTGGTGCTGCGGCTCGGGGTGCGCGCCTGCGGGCTGGTGCTGCGCTTCGGGCCGCTGCTGCTGCTGTACCCGCTGAGCCGGCTGTGGCCCGGCATGGGCGCTCGGTGGCTGCGGCTGCTGCGCAGGGCTGCCGAGGCCGCCGGTCCCACCTGTATCAAGCTGGGCCAGTGGGCCAGCACTCGCAGGGACCTCTTCTCGGAGGCCTTCTGCGATGAGTTTTCCAAGCTGCACGTCGAGGTGAGCCCACACCCCTGGGGCCACACCGATATGCTCCTAAGGAAGGCCTTCGGTGAGGACTGGACGGGCATCCTCAAGTTCCCAAGCCGGGAGCCGGTCGGCTCGGGCTGCGTCGCCCAGGTCTATAAAGCCTATGCTGACCTCACTGCTGTTGCCGGCTCCTGGGCCCAGGAGCTGCAGCAACACTCGGAGTTCAGGTCCGCTTTTGAAGCGTGGGAAGTGTCAGGCTTTAGAGGTCTCTTCAAGTGGCTGAGAAGGAGGAAGAGCAAGGAGACATGGGATGAGAGGAGCAGGGAGGAACTGAGCCTAGCAGACTGCTCCCAGGGAAGTGCCATGAGTAGGATGTCCCTTATGGAGCAGATGGCCAAACCACTCCTGAATGCAAATCCTTCATCAGCCAGACATCTCATGCCTGTAGCCATTAAAGTAAGTCGTACACCTGAACAGTAGATGTATGAAAGCAGACTGTGCTGGATGGGGTCAATCAGATTTTAATTCCCATGGGGATAAGTGGCTGGCTAGAGCCAGGCAGAGTGAGAGGAGGGATGCTGTCTTCCTTGGTGTCCTCAGTGCTTTTGTTCCAACCCAGCGCAATCCACAGTTGTGATGGCCCCAGCTCTTCCCAGGTGAAGAGCCCAAATACCCATGCTGCCTATGGCACTGTTTGACATGGCATGTGGGTATTGGGAATGCCTAAAAGGGCAACAGACAAATTCTGGAACAGACAAATTCTTTCCAGCAAAGTTTATTTGAAGAAACCTTATATTTGAGCAGCTTCTGATACTAGTCAGGGACGGGGCTGGAGCCTGAAAGTGGTGGAAAATACCTTTGGGTGAGACTGTAGTCTCTAGCACAGATATATTCCATTAGACAATTATAAAATGTTTTGTTACAACTTAATCCATGGCAAAATGTGAATTCTTCTGGGGACTAGCTGAAGAAGCTGGTTGGCTTCCAGTCTAATAGGCTGGGTTCTGTCTGTTTGGGATGTATCACTTGAGCTGATTGCAATGGAGTGTTTGGAGAGTTGATCTTGCCACTGCTCATTCTTGTGCAGGTCCTGCACCCTGGGCTGGTCCACCAAGTCCAGATGGATCTGTTTCTCATGAAGATGGGCAGCCGCCTCATTGGACTTCTCCCTGGATTCAAATGGCTCAGTTTGACAGAGATCGTGGAGGAGTTCGAGAAGCTTATGATGCAGCAGGTACATGCTATGCCATGGTCCCCACTTACTGAAACAAAACTGCCCTTTGTCTTGCTACTGGCTGGCTTTAACTGTTCACACTGCTGCATTTTAAAGGGTTAGATGAAGGCTGGCTTGTTCTTTATTCTAATCAATCACATAATGTTATTGTAGGAAACCTTATATGCTCACAAAGTAAAAAAGCAAAGCAATGACAAAATTTAAAAATCTTTGATTTGATTTAAAAATACTTTTTAGACTTTGAAAATCATTCTGAAAACATTCTCATTATTCCATGTTTTCTAAAGACACAGTCCTGAAATGTTGCTAGTATCACACTTACAAAGATTTTGCTACGGGCTTAATTGGGCTTATGTTGCTCTTAAAATGAACCATTATCTGCTAATTTCATTTCTGTGTCTAGATTGCAGAGTCTGAAGTCTGTAACAAGCTTTTGAAAGCCTTAATTATTTTCTACTATTGCAAAAACTCTACACAGTAAATCACCGTTGTAAACTGTTGACTGTAGTCAAATGTGACTCGAGGTCATTTAGTTCCAGTTTAGTCTGGCAGAGCTTTTGGTGGATGTGCTGAAGACTGAGGGTTAAGAGAACATCTGATAGGCTCACTGTAGTTTTAATTATCTTTGAAAAAAACAAGAAGTATTCCTGGGATATTTCCCATTGTCAGATGAGGGAGGTGAAGGAAGGTTATCCTGCCTCCTTGAGCAGTAGCAGACAGAAAGAGGCCCTCGTGTCAAGACACTGCATCACTGAAAAGCCAGGGCCTGCACTTTGCATAGTGGATTATTTTGTATGTTTTACATTAAATTTCTTCCTGCTATGGCTGCCTCTCTGTTAAGTGAGGCTGGGGCTGCAGTTCATCTACCCTGTCTGTTTGCCTTGCGATTTGGACAGTCAGCTTTGGTTCAGGACCTTGTTGTGTCCTCGAACATAACGCAGTCGTGGTCTATTTTGAGACACCATGCCTATAGTAAGGCACCCAGATTTCAAAGGTGCTGGGTTGTGGGCCATCCATTACCCAGTCTGTTACTGTACTCTTCCATCAAGGAAGCTATAAGCATGTAAAAAGTACCTCTGATTTTGTTTTCATTCTGGCTTTCTGACTAGTTTCGTTGGTATTGAGTCCTGTACAGTCCTTTCCTCATACAGGATCCTGAAGATCTAACTCTAGTTGAATCTATTTTCCCACCTGCTTTTTCTGTTTCTCCCTTGAGATTGACTTACGCTATGAAGCCAGAAATCTGGAGCGCTTCCGACAAAATTTCCTAGATGTCGATTTTGTGAAGTTTCCAACTCCCCTTTGGCCTTTGGTAACAGCAGATGTTCTAGTGGAAACGTTTGAGGTAAGAATTTCAGGGTCTTGGAGTGGTGGTAGAAGTGAGATGGCCCTGGAGAGAACATGCCAAGGAAGTTTTTTTTTGAGAAGGGATCAGAGGCAGAAGGATGCTTTTCTCTTATTTGCTTAAGGAGAATTGGTGTCCTTCCTTGGTGTCTCTTCCAGTATTTTTGTTGGTAAGCAATGCATCCCAGAATACAGGTGGCAGACAACTCCATCTAGAAGTGGACACTTGGCCTGAAACCAAGCAGACCAACAGTGTCTCCAGCCACCACCATGTGCTTGCCTGTACTTTGCAAACCAAACCACACTCCAAGTCTCTTCTGTGGTGGGTCAAAGCAAGGAGCTCAGCAATCTGACAACTTTCTGATGCTTGCCTTAGTTCCCTTGTGGATGTTTGAGGCATGGACCAAAGCTACTCTCAGCCTTAGTTTTCCTGCATGTGATCCTGGCAAGAGTATTTCTGTCCCAGAAATACTATCCCTCTTTGCAAAGAACAAACCCTTGCTTCTCTCATGTTCTCTATCACACTAGATACAGCCTCTATCTGGACGGTCCTTTCTAGGGCATTGTTGCCACCTCCCCTGAACTCCTGGCACCCAGATAAAGGTGTGGCTGAAGATGGAACACAGGGTGTGTTTGACTCCAGCCCTGTCTTTATTTCAGGAGAGTGAGCCTATTTCACAGTACCTGCACGCGGAGATTGCCACAGAGCTGCGGCAGAGACTTGCGAAGATGGGCATGGACATGCTGCTAAAGATGGTAGGCACTTGGCTAAGCTGGAAGTGAAGGTTGTTTTCCTGCAGAAGCTATTCTGTTGGGATAATAACACAATATGGCTAAAGAGAGAACCCATTTGCTTCCCACTTCTCCTGCCTGCACCCATGTCCATAGGGACATGGACTCAAAGACACTGTTGTGCCTTTGGAGGCAGCCCCTGGATGCCAGGTATCTTGTAGTAACCCAGGACTTGGGGCACTGTGGCACAGCACAGCTCCTGAAGTGGCAGAGGGAGGGTCTGTACTTAAAGTACAATGTCTCACAAGGCCTGAGTAAAGCCTGGCCTAGATAGGCCACTGCTGTAGAGTCTGACACGGAGCTTCCTCCACTGCAGACGGGCCATCTGCTCACACGCAGCAGGACCAGCCTGTGCACCTCGGTCAGTGCACTGCTTAGGAAACACACTAATCCATTTAATCAGTATTCGCATATTGCCCAAGTACTATGGAGTGCAACATAATTAGCAAATACCGTGTGCTCTGCAGAGACTCTGGATGCAACTCAGGGAAAACAGCAATAGCTGATTTCTTTATCGGCTCCTTCTCTAAAACTGCCTTTCTGTAAGGAAAAATTAAATACAGAGTAAAGAAAACAAACCTGTCCAGATGCATCCTCTGGCTGTCTAGTTCTTCTGTGGCTGAAACAATCACAAATGATCTGGAAAGGAGTGTTGAGAGGGTGATACAACTGTCTTGTGAGGAACCATGAGAACTAGCAGGGAAGAGTTGCAAAAGATCCTGACAGTACTGAGTGAGTGGGCTCTATATGTCAGATGAAATGCAGCTGATAACTGCAGCATTGTGCTAGGGTGATGGCAAGCCTCCAGTTCTGAATCCGTGGAGTATGACAGGCTCTGAAATAGCTTTTACTACTCAGAAAAGCAATAGTGGAACTAGAATAGTTTTACGCTAACGTTGGTTTCAAATTTTAGGAGTAGAAAAGAATTAAAGAGCAAAGAAACAACATTATGTCTTTAAGTAAAACAAATACCTGTTTCTTGAGTACTCTGTGCAGTTCTAGTCCCTTGCTGTCCAAGACCCTCCATTCAAGGGCTGTGATAGAACTAGAAGAGGTGCAGAGGAAGGCAGACAGGATGATTACTGGTGTGGAGTGGCTTCCACACTGTAATGGTCAAATAATTTGGACTCTTAACTCTGGAAAGCAGAGAAATTAGTAGCTTATGATAGAGATAAATGCAGTCATGAGTGCACAAGAATGAATATTAGCAGAGGTATTTTTTTCAGGCAACACCTAAAAAAATATGTTTTCACACAATTCTAATTATTTATATGGTAGTTGGACAAACTCATAGGAGAAATCCATGAAATGCAACGATGACCTTGGGGCAGGAAGTTCTGCAGTCCCAGGTGGCCAGGAGATTTAGTGGGGAAGTGCTGTTTTGTGCTTGCCCTCTTGCCAGTCCTTTCTGGTGCTAACTGCTAGCAGAGTCAGAGAAGGGCTACGTAGATCTGTTTCCTCTTAACTCATTTTCTTTACTTTCCAATACAGTTGTAAGGTGGATTGATGTCCTGGACTAGACAAACTTAACCATTTACTATAACTCTTGGCACTGAATGGCAACTGGCCTATTCTTACTGCATTTCTCTTTGCTAAGGCCCACTGGTGTGCTCTCAGTTTAGAGTTAATTACCAAAGAGCACCTCCATTCCCAGTTGGGACTCCTGGCTGTCCTACCTGACCTCTAGCAAACACACTGGATTGCTCCACACAGCTCTGCTGACTCCCTGCCATGTCAGCACAGCTGGGCTCCAGCAGAAGCCGTGTGCTGTGGTGCTGCCAAAGGTAACCCACCATCATTAGGGATGACGGCAAATAGACCAGGAACAGCCCTCTGCTGTTTGCCTGGGAGTTTTGGTGAGGGCAGGTTTGGTTGGAATGAGCTTCTCTAAGACTTACCTGTCCTCTAGATCTTTGTTGACAACTTTGTCCATGCTGACCTGCACCCTGGGAATATCCTGGTTCAAGGCACGGCCCGTGTGAGCACCAGCTGCAAGGAGCAGACGGCCCTCGTGGACCTGTGTGACACGCTCGTGGTGGAAGTGCAGCCGCCGCTCCGGCAGCTCTGCCTGGTGCTGCTGGATGCAGGGATCGTGGCGGAGCTGCAGAGCGCTGACATGCAGAACTTCCGGGCGGTTTTCACAGCTGTGGTCCAAGGACAGGTGAGGCCTCTGTTGTGGGGCGGGGGAAGGGAAAAGGCTGGAGAGTATGACAACCCAAGTGAGGGTTTTCTCTCTATTTCCCCTTAAAATCCTCCCTAAGAGGGGCAAGGAGACTTGTTAGCATGGAAGCTATTCCAAACACAGGGCTAAGATGTTCCCCTACAGCAAGGACGCTGCCAGAGTGGAACAATTTCAGTGGCCTAGGAAACAGAAGGTGCTAAATGGGAAGTATGGCTGCCACTCCCTGGTTAGGAGTGTTTCTGCTGCAAGTTAGGACTGCCTGGGAGCCACTTGCACTGGAGACTGTTGCAGAATCTGTCAGGTTTTGCTAGAGAAGAGGAGGGAATGGATTAACATCTTGATCTTCCACATATTCCCTTCTGCAGCCTTGCTGCTGGAAAGCCCACGTGCCTTCCTCCATTTTGCTGCTGTGTGTCAGCATCTATAGAGAAGAGCATGTAAAACAGGTAGAGGGTCTGATTCAGAGGGCAGGCTCCTGTGTATAAGGAGAACTACTTTATCCTCCTTCCCACTTGAAATACATTTTCAGATGTACTAGAGAATCTAGTGCTAATGTCTCCTATTCATTCTGAGAACAAGCATCTGTGCTCATACTTGCCTGTGGCTGTTTCTCAGCTGCAGGTTGAATGGCTCACCAGCATATCTCAAGAGGGACACATTTTGTCTTGGTCTGTTTAATCTGCCGAAGCAAGCCAAGGAATCCATGCTAACCCATGTATTCAGGCCCATCCTGTGCTGCCAGATGTAGTTCTCAGCTACTAAGCAAGAACTGCAAACAATTGGTTGCAAGTTACCAGCGATCAAGTCCTGATTCTCCTCTCCAACTTGTTCCTCAGGGGGAGAGGGTGGCAGAGCTGATCCTCCACCACGCCCGCGCCAACCAGTGCCAGGACATCGAGCGGTTCAAGGCTGAGATGGCAGAGCTGGTCACCAAGGTCCGGGGGAACACCATTGCCCTGGGGAAGGCAAGTGCACCGTGTCTCATTCTCACTTACCTGCAATTCAGTGCAGCTTGGCACTGAAAACTGAAACAAAAGGGTTTTTTGATCAGTTCGCTTCTTTTTGTATTCCAGCTGCAGGTGGGAAATCTCCTCTCGAATGTCTTCAAACTATTGATGACCCATAAGGTGAGGTCCTGTCACTGTCTGCCTTCAATAACTGGAAGTTTATTTGGGGAGGGAGAACTACCAGGAACATGAAGGGCTAACAAGGAGGGGGACTGACTTCCAAAATGAACTGCTAGGAGAGGAACTGCAGGAATGTAATCAGGTGTTGCAGGCTTGCTGTTTCTCAGCAGGTTTCCAAGTATGTCTTTTTTGTTGGGTTTTCTTGGTCTTAATACTGCATTTAATGGTTGATGTTGTTTACTAAGAGGAATACTTTTGTAACATGTAGTTTTTCCTATCTTTTTTCGTAGTCTCTTAGAAGCAGAAGCATATGAAATCTAATACATATTCCACTTCTATAGCATTGCATGCTTTCTTCCCTGGACCTCTTTCTTGAAATGGGGTTATATAACAGCACCAAGCCATTTTACTGGTTTGTTAGAGGGCTCAAAGATGAGAAGTTTCTCACAGGACAGAGATAACTACTCGTAATTGATTATTTGGGGAACAAGTTTCTGCAGCTGCAAACAACTTTGGAAATCAACAGAGCTGTGGTGGCCTGAACTAGAGGAGACGAAAAAGTTGTCAGCCACTTTGCTCCCTGTGCAAAGGGTCCCTCTAAACATTCCTTTCTTAGAGGGTTTTGTCATTAAGCCTCATTAAGTAGGTTTCTAGTGAAATGAAATGTAATTTAGGCCCTTAAAAAGCAAGTCCTCCCAACTTCATGAATTCTTAGTGCCCTGGTATGCCTTGAAACAGTCTTGGTACCTGGCTGGGAACTGGGGAGTATTTTCTTCACATACAGAGCAGAGAATCATTTCCTCTGACCTGCAGGGTCTTTTATGGCCATTCAGGTGAGCTGCCTCTTACACAAGTGCATATGTTCAAGTATGTTGGATACTACTGCAGCCATGGTGAGCAATTCTAAGATCCTGCTATTCTTGTATAGAAGAAAAAAAAAATCCATTTCCCTTTTTGTATGAAAAACAAAGTATTGGATTCCCTTAGTGCACTTACCCTGAAACTGTCCCCTTATGTTTGGGTCTGCTGCTGGATTTCAGTGAATTCTGAAACTCCAGCTGGTGGAGTTGCATTATTTTCAGGTGTGCATGCGCTCTCAGCAGCCTCTTCCCTTCCCTCTCAGCTTAGCCAGAGCTGGGACCTTGGTTGAATGGCTACAGAAGGAAATAAGGTCCACTGAGCCCATTGAGTCTCTTGTGGTTCTAGGTGAAGCTCGAGAGCAATTTTGCTTCCATCATCTTTGCCATCATGGTTCTGGAGGGACTAGGTCGTTCACTGGACCCTGAACTGGACATCCTAGAGGCAGCTAAACCACTGCTCATCAAAACTGCAGCTTCTGTCCTCAAATAGACTCCTGTGGCTGCTGCCCTCCCCCTGTGTGGGGTTACCTGCGCTGTCTGTGAGTCAACACGAGGGAAGCTGAAGGTGAAGTCACGTGTGCCCTGGGGACATGCTGTGCAGTGGTTACTCTCCATTAACCTTGCCTTCAGTCGTTTCAGCTGAGCACCAGGCATGGGATGATCAGAAGGTCTATTCCAGAAACCAGAAGACTTTGCACAATTGGACATTTCTGACTCATTGCACAATTTTAAGAGCCAATGTGCTCTGGTAGTTTTAAAACTGACATATGTAGCTTAGGTGCACAAGATGACTGCAGCCTGATGAGAAAAGCAGTCTCAGTTGTCTAAAAGTCTTCAAAGAGATGTGCATTGATCAAGTCTGTTTTGAAATCTGTCAGGTTTAATATTTAATTTACTGACTTACCTGTCACTGTGGTATAAGAAATGATGTTCTAACATCACCTAAGCAACACAGGCTGAAAAAGCCAATAAACCTCTTAGTCTTTTGTACTTTTAACTTCTACTTTTATTGTAGAAGTGTCCCAAGATCGTGCATGTAGCGGTCTGTTCTTAGTCATTCTGGATGATAAAAACAGACCAGTCATTTTGGTTTTTATTTTGTTTTCAAACTTCTGTACTCCAGCACATTATTATGGGAGTTTGATTATAAACAGCATAATAAAATATTTGCCTAGGCAGAAAAACCTAATTCCATAATAAAAAACAACTTCTGGGAATATTTGTACTGCTCTTAATTTTTCTGGTTTTGAAGCTTAAAAGTCTTTTTTTTTCCTCTGTGTGCTTCCTTCTACTATCCTCCCCCATGCTAGTGTAACCCTATTTAACTCAAAGCCTTAACTGATATGCAGATTCTTGGGGTTTGCTTCCAGTAGCTGCAAAACAAAAAGTCCAAGAATTTTCCTAATGAATCAAAAACATGTTGTGAATGTTTAAAATTAAATAAAGCCAGCAAAAGAGCTAGATTATATGTGGCATTTACAGTCAGTTATTTTAATAGTAGTATTAAAATTATTTTATGGCTGCATTTTAATAGTGAGAAATACAGTCTATGAATGATTGGAAATACTGTGATATTAAATATATTCCCAGATATACCATATGTGAAATAGCAGTAGTGCAGGCTCTCTGCAGTGGTCTGTTCTCAGATGGTTAAGCAATGAAGAGAAAGTACATAAGCAGACAATCTGCTGTTTTATGGTGATTATAAAGTAAAGGTTAATGGCATATAAATGAAGTCTGAAAAATAAGTTTAGGTTCAGCTCAATATATTTCACGTACTTTCCTTTAATCACTGCATATTCTATTTCCAAGTGCTTAAGGATAGGACAGCAGTAGAGTTTAGTATCTTTTAAGCTTTAGACTTGTTTCTCTTAGTTAGACCTAAAGTCATAAGTAGGCACGCCATTGTCCTGACTAGCACATGATTTTATGTAGAAGAGAACTCAAGAAGAAAAGCAAGCAACCCCAAAGCAATACATTAAAGAAAATCTCCATGTGCTGCCAGCACCCACTTTCCATCAGTGGGGCATGTGCCCTCTTCCCTTTCCACCCGGCTCAGGATAGAGATGCCAGGCACAGCCTGGGCCTCATCCATAATTATGCAGGTCTTAGGCACAACCACCCGTGTTCCTGCTGAGCAACTTCCAGCCAACTTTTCCAGAGCCTAAACAGAATGTAAACCAAATGATGGAATTCCATGTCTAAAATGCAAAACTGTGCATCACATGCGGTTTCCATAACATGCAGTTATATTTTTTCCAGACCTTAACTTAAACAAACAAAATGTCAAAGCCTTCACCTGGTATTTAGGCTCATCCTTACTTTCCCCTTTTTTTTTAAAAAAACCAAAAATCTGAGGATGGCTTATGCATATTATAGATCCTAAAGTTTAAAAATACCCCTTTCAGCTATTAAGGCTTCTGAATAATTTGTAAACATCTGGATGAGAGACTTAACTTTGTCTTTTTAGGGGAAAGCTGAAGGCATAGCCTCTCCATTATCCGTAGAGGAATGCAGTCTGAGACTTACTGCTAAGAAACTGCTGGCAGGATTTCAAAGGAGCTCCCTTTTACAAGTTTTCTTAATTTTACCTTTTTTTTTCTTAAGTAACTGCCATTATCACTTGTGCTGTATTCTTGCAAAAGACATACATTTTTATACTCACACTTTTTGTTGAGCAGTGTGCCACAACACGTGCAACATGTTTCTAAGTGTACACAGAATGTCAGGCAACCACATTTAAATTTTGTATCTAGTTTGGTTCCAGGCATTACTCGAAACAAGGTATCACATGTATTGTATTTATTTTAGCATAATTCTGTGTAAAATAAGAACATATTTCCACCTAGCCCTGAGCGTTCCAGCAAATAAACTGTGCCACGTCCGTTCTCCTTCCCTAAATACCCATCTGAAAAGAACAGGTACGTTTCTGGTTACCCAGAGCTGATAATAACATTGCCTGTGACACAGCCACTGTATTTTGTTAACCATCAATTTACCAATTCATTTGTCTTTGTAACGTTCTCCTCATTTATTCACAAAGAGCAAAAGGTGTGGTTATTGTAAGCATGGGCCCTACCTGAAAAGGTATCAGAGTATCTTTCTGACCCGCTTTGGAGACTGCCAGCCTGCCAGGGAGACTGTAGGCCAAACAGAAACCCAAGCCCACCGTTGGGTTTGGTGACTCTCCAAAGACAGTTATTTCACAGATCAGACCTTTTGGTCATCACAGTGCCTAGAAAGGGGAGCTTGTCATTAAAAAAACCAAACAAAAATCAAACAAACAAAAACCCCACACCACTTTCTTTTTCTGTTCTGGGCTTCTAAAAGTCATTCCTCCTCTAAAGGAGTGGCCAACACATCTCAAGCAGTACCTACACCCTGACAGTAGAAGATCTGTACTTACCTGAAGCCCAGGCTGGTGAGCCAGAATAGTAACTCCAGAAAGAAAGGCATGTAAAGGACAGAGCAGTGGACATGCACTCTGGCTGCTATGAAAGGGAGGTTAAAGACCTCTCCGGGAATTGTAATTCCACTTGTCACAACTGTAGCACACTGAGTCACACCTACAAGACAAAGACCAGGTCTGTGAACTGCTAGAGGGCTTCTCCCCTGCTCTGCAGCTTCCTTACACTAGCAGGGATGCCCGAAGCAGCAAAAGGGACTGTTCTCCGAGGTACTGCTGGAGATCATGGATTTTTTGGTCTTCTTTTTCCATCTTCCGATCTTCGGTCTCCACTCTGGAACGCTCTCACTTTGGCAGCCTGATGCTGGTTTTGTTGCTTGTCCTGCTCCCGTGGTTCTTGTTCCAACATTTCCTGCTGTGGCTGCATTCTGCTCCTCACAAACTCCTACATAAAGAAATTTACAATTGTACAGTCAGCTTTCATGCCAAATTTCATCCTCAGTTTTCAAGGACAAGGACCTCCTGGAGCAAAATCTAGAGGAGGGTGACAAAGATGCCCAGAGAGCATGAGCACCTCTGCTATGGAGACAGGCTGAGAGAGTTGGGGTTTTTCAGCCTGGAGAAGAGAAGGCGCTGGGGAGACCTTAGAGCACCTTCCAGTGCCTGAAGGGGCTACAAGAGAGCTGGAGAGGGACTTTTTACAAGAGCTTGTAGTAATAGGACAAGGGGGAGTGGCTTTAAACTGAGAGTAAGTTTAGATTAGATATGAGGAAGAAATTCTTTACTGCGAGGGTGGTGAGGCACTGGAACAGGTTGCCCAGAAAAGTTGTGGATGCCCCATCCCTGACAGTGTTCAAGGCCAGGTTGGACAGGGTTCTGAGCAGCCTGGTCTAGCAGAAGATGTCCCTGCCCATGGTGAGGGGTTTGGAACTAGATGACTTTTAAGGTCCCTAATCATACTACGGCTCTATGATTCTATGGTAGAAGTCAGAAATGGGTATAATATATGGATATTCATTCCTTGCATGCAGAAAGACTCCTTTTATGGCAGAGATGGAGAATATTACTTCCCATCTTTCATCTTTATACACGTCAAAAAAATGTTACCCTTTTTTAAATGCCTGAATGATATAGTTTTATTGGATATAAAACAGGAGAAAGACAAATACTTCAGATAGTGCCACTGCTAGAAACACAGCAGAAGGGAAAATAATTTCTGGAATTACCCTTACCAGCCTTTCTTTCTCTTGTTCAAAGCTCCTTTCATTGCATTCTGCCTGCAACTCCTCTCTGTGTGAACGCTGTGTCTTTAAGAACTGAAGCCTCTGACTTGCTTTCCTCTTCCCCTCCTCTTGAAAGGAGGATTCCTTCCTGCTCCTCTCAGCCCCAGCAGCCTGGAGCAGTGCCATGTGCTGCAAAGCTCTCTCTTTGTGCTCCAGCTGTTTCTCCAGCCCTTGCAATGTTCTCTGACGCAACTGCTGCCTGTTTCCAAAACAAAATTTCTCAAATTTCTCATAAAGAAAGTGCAATAAAAAAAGACAGTGCATGAGACATAAAACAGATATTCTGGCAACGTGAGCTTAGTTAATATTCCAGGTCCCTTTGTTAGGTTATGAGGGTTAAACCTGTGTCCAAAACAGAGGTAGCAAAACTCCCAAATGGGCTGGTGCCTGATGTCAGCTAACTGCAGTCATCTGTCCATCTGACTACATAAACCTGGTGTGGCCAAGTGTCGTTGGCCCTGAAGACCAGGAATCAAGGAAATAGATTGTGCAGACAGGGCTGTAGGACTGATCCAGACAACTGTGTGGCTGTGTGCTGCTGGTGGAGCCACTGAGGCAACAGAGGAGAAGGCAAGAAGTGGGTCACGGGGGTAATGCAAGGTCCTGCTCAGCTTAAGTGGACTGTGGGCCAGAGAGCAAGGATTTGAGAGGCCAAAGGATATTTGTTCTGAGAACAAGATCGAAGGGAATTTGCCCTTGGAGGTAACGCTAAAGGCTACGGGGTCCATGTGTACCCGCTCCCACAAACCTCAAGAATCAACTTTTATTCCCAGTAGGGAACCACTGTGACCCCTCTGCAGAGTCTGTCATAAAGCACAACATGTGATGTTCAGAAACTGAAGGAGAGCACCAGGGAGCAGATGTTACCAACCTTCCAACATCTACCACAAAAAGTAGTAAGTTCCCAGGCATCACCTCTGGTTGTCCTTGCGCAGCTGGTGCTGGATGCCATCTGCCTCTTGCTGCTGCTCCCTCTTCAGCTGCCTCTGTTCCTCTTTCCTCCTTTTATGCTCAGTCTTGGCTCTATCGAAGTCCATCTCTTTGCATCTCTCCTGAGATGCACTATTAAGGATTGATTTCTAAGAGGAAAAAAGCCAAACCGAACCCTTAATCCCATCAGTGTATTTTTCTAACACAAACTGTAAACACACAAAACCAGAACAGCTTAGTTCTTATATCACTCTTGAGGTCTGGAAGCTACACTGGCTCATGAATACTGAAGTTGCTCCCCATCCATGAACACACTGAGGATGATGCTAAAACCTATAGAAAACATTAGGCTTAACCAACCAAGGGGCGCCTGAAAATCCTATGTTCTGGTTGTTCTGGTGTTGAGCCAATGCTTAAAACTGCCCAATCTTTGTGTCAGCTTTGTGTTTGGATGGAAAACCCAGGTTCTGACCACAAATCATATTACATATTCCTCGTTAGATTTTATTAGAAAGAGAAATACCTGCCCCCCTCTGGCCAAACACAAAATATTCCCGGAGTTCTCTGCGGGTATAGCAACTCTTCACCTCTTGTCTCAGATTTCTACTTATGCTCAAGCAGTCTTGATGTGTTCTTCAGTAGTGGCTGCATTACAATGCTGGGCAATGCTGCTAATTTGTGTTTTTAAATGCACTGTGCTGTGCAAGGATATGAAGGAGCACCTACAAGGCTCCTTTTCATAGCCAGAGTGAACTATTTCTTTCTTTTGTACTCCCTACGGTGCCCTGTATGAGGGAAGGAGCAAGGAAACACCACCAAAACTTCAGACATGCATTCAAGTTTACATTCCTAGAGCTGTTTAGGGCTGGAACAGAATTTCCACAAAATATTTTCCTCTCCTTCCTCCTATTCCCAGCTACAGTTAGCATGTTCCTGCTGTTAGCTGCTCCTCTGCAAATAGAATGCCACCTCTCCAGTTCTTTCCTGTGGACAACTCTAATACCACAAGCTATAAAACACTACGGGACCTTCAAATAAGTTCCTGCCAGTCTCACGTAGCATTTTGATGGGTTTTTCTTAACACATTGATCTGTATGGCTTCCCAGGGGCTGTAAACAGCTTTGTTCTCCAGCATATTGCTATTCCTTGCAAAAAAATGTACCTTGTGGGTGTTTGTGTTTAATGACATACAGAGGGAGAGATCAAAGAGAGAATCAAAGGTGTTTTATAGGTGGGAGGTGAAAAAATGGTGTTTTCCAACAGGTAAAGTACTGGCCTAAGGTTTAGGAGACAAAGTTCCACCTCAGCCCTGACATGCACTCTCAGCTGTAAGATTCAGCTGACTATCCAGACTTTCTCTTTTTGTGTTTCAGTATCTGTAAAAGAGGAATAAGTTTTTTGCTGTCTAGTAGAGCTGGCAGAGAGTTTTATTTAGAAAAGATTAGATCTAAAATGAAAAAAACTCTATCAAAAGTGCTGAGTGAAAATACCAGAAGTGCCCTTCCCTGTACAACATGGATTCCCAAGTGGAATCCTTAAGATTCTATTTATTCATAACCATTATTCTACATAGGCATAATTTTTGTTGCAGCAAAAACCTTTGCAGGAGATCAAAGGAAAGAACATTCTCACATGACATAAACAAATCTCCTGATTCTGAGACCTAAATCTGGCTTGGACCAAATACTTACTGTAATGCTTTTGTCTTTTAGAAGGTTTAGAAGTTTTGTGGATCTCCTAGCCAGCCCATTGGTGGTACTGTGTGGTCTCTGTACACGTAGAGCTGATTTGATGGTCAGGCTGTCTTTCTCTAGCGATTGATTCACTTGGTCAAAGAAGCTTTGGCGCCTGAAAGGAACCAAAGCACTGGTTCCCAGGGAAGGGCTCCTTGGGGAATGCTGGCCTGGAGCTTCTGCCACTTTGGACTCAAAAAGACCTTGCAAATAAATTAGGGCAAGGACATATGAGAATATAGGAAGCTTATAAAAAGAAAGCAAGTTAAAAGAACAAAAGGTCTTCCCGTATAAAATATATTCAAGTAAGACTTTTATAACATTTTCCTCTCAGGGACAATTTTTAGTCTTCACAAAACAGGTCCTAGCTTCTTTCCAGAAACAAGCTTGCTATTGCAGTCAGGGAAGAGTTTTGCCTGGTAACACAGGACTTTTGACTGCACTTACAGCTACTCAGGCTGAGAGATTGTTTACGTGGTATTTCACAGACAGACATGGGCTGCTCTGAGATGAGTGAAAATGATAAATCTCTTGATAGGGCAAAGCCTGAGCTGTACATCCTGCTGAGAGACAGGAGACATTAGCTTGGGCACAACGCTGTGCTAACACAGCTTTTGGGTAGTTGAGAACATGAGCAGAGTTTGCTCACACCCTTCTGCTAAAGACAGTGCGGACCTGAGTGGCAGCTGTTGCATGGAACGATGCTGGAACACCAGCTGGGAGGAAACGTGCACCCCTGTGTGACTTTTCCTTCTCCCTCTACCAGCAGTGTCACAAAGCAACAACAGAGAAAGCTTTAGGCTTTCAGAATCCTCACTTAAATGCCTGCCATTGTCACAAAACTAAAAATGAGGACAGCAACACATTGATTTAAATTGTGATCCAGCCCCTTTTGGATGTTAAGGGAACAAAGGGTTACTCAATGACAAGCAATAGTTTTCAACACAGATAAGAGCAGAACAGTCCTGGTGAAATCTTTTTGCTATAGACAGTAATAATTAATGCTACAGATTAATTTGTAAAGTAAAGAAATTTTATAATAAATAGTATTTACACTGAGCGTTATGATAAAGGTTAAGAAAACCCAAAAGCTGCTACTGCAGTAGCTGTAAAAGCAAAAAAAACCCGATTTCCATCTGAAAATTCTTTCACCTTGAGATGATGAACAACTTCTCAAGCTAAAGCACTATTAATACCTACATATAAATATACTACATAATGATGGCCATAGTCATAGCATGGCATTATGGCATTTCCTTTTGAAGCATCAAGATTTATGGCAACAGATCTTAGACACTGCAGTGATATTGTGTGGCAAGTGTTACATTTGGATAAAAGAGCTACAGTTCCACTACCATGTTCATGTTTAAAATTAGCTTCAGTTTCAGCATCCTGCTGTCTGCTCTCTGGTTCCTCCTTGTGATCTGTCTCCATTAACCAGCTGTCTGTGTTGACAGCGGTATCAACCATAGCATGAGCCATCTCCCTCTGAGCACCCTAGAAATAACAAGAAATGCATTCATAATCCAGACCTGATAAGGAAAAGAATAGGTTAGTTTCATGAACTTGCAGCAGAAGATCCTAAGTTGTAACTGAAGTTTAAGAAAATCAAAAAAGACAAACCCCGGGGGATTTCTTTACTAAAGAAACAACTCTTAGGTAGAGTAATTTCTGATCACTTCGTGGGTTTGTCTACACCTCCAAATGACCTAAAACTGGCAGTACTTCTGTTTGGAAGGGTCCAAACTGGTAAAAAAGAGATCAGGCCAGAGGACCTCTGGCTGAAAGACAGTCCTGTTTCTGGCACCTGCCAGAAATCAGGATTCTAACCCTTGAAGAGATAAGCTTGGCAGTAGCTGGTGCACATGAACCTCCTATCTGATCCTCGCCCTGTTCACAAGCACCAAGTCAACTGCTGAGGATAGCTTAAGTCTCTTATAGTCTTTGATTGAGAGAGGGGACACATCTAACAGGGTGGAGAAGTACCTTAATAGAATTATGTAAGAGACTGTCTTGGTATGGAGCAATCCTTACTTTAATCCTTATCCAGGGTCAAGTCTTCTGTCTGACACTTTTTTCTGTCTTTACCTCCTTCATACAGAAGAAGGATGTAGAGAAACTGGGCTATACAACACTTCTTATATTTTGCATCCATGGAAGAGGTTCTAGAAGCCTGCTCCAGCCAGGGACAATGACAGCTTATTACTCTTTCCCTGGTCAAAGGATCAGGAAGACAGTGCAAAGTCTCTCCATTCTTTAGCAGGCATATATAGGGGCCAGGCCTAAAACCTCTAGTAATTTTTTGGTACCAAGGGCAGTAAACTTCAGGTAACAAAGCAGATTTATAAAAATAGCAGACCACATAGTGACAGAAAAGCCAGGGCGAAACATTTTTTACCTTCTTAGGTTCTACAACCTCATTGTCCTCTTCCAAACAAGACCAAACGTCTTTTGGAACATTTTCTATCTCTAATCTCGTCTCTTCCTTTTTCTCTTCCTCTCTGGAAACACTTTCTGAAGATGTAATTCTCAATTCAGACAGTTCCTCTTCTATTTCCTTGCTGAGCACTTCTTCAGCCAAGCCTGTTCCTGGGATGAAGGCATTTTCCTGCTGCACTTTGCACCCTGCAGGCCGTGTGGGTTCCCAGGCTGCCAGGCAGCACCGGGGGAGCGAGGTACACTCCCAGCTGCACTTAGCACATAGATGAGCTGAACACAGACCCCCTGGCCAGCAGTCCAGGCCTGAGTGACCCAGCCTGTAGTGGCCTGAGGCTCTATAACCCGGTGTCACAATGTATGGGTAATGTAAGCTTGAATCTACCACCATCTGCCTGGCTGCTAAAGGCATCTGCAGTTCTAGGATGATGCGTTCGCTTAAGGGCAGAGGAATCTGCAGAGCTTGGTCAGAAGACACCTCCTTGGTCTGCCCATTCCAGAAATTCACAAGCACTCCACTTCTGTTGTGTGCTGTACGTATCAAAAACAAAAACAAAAAGGGAAATAATGTATTAGCAGCAGAAAGCTGGAGTTAAAAGTAATGACTCGTGTTTCAGAGAATTTTGTAACAACTTCTATGATTTTTTTTTCTTTATAGGTTTAAAATGTGACCTTCTTTTCAACTTCCTATGAGGAGACAGGAGATAACAAAATTCTCACTTGTCACAGTGAGGCAGGATTTTACCCTGAAATAGCAGGAAACTAGACTAACAGATAATCAGGTGAATACTCATGAGGGCCAGGAACATTTTTTGCTTTGTGTTGGGAGGATGCCATGCCCAACCCCCAACTTTTTAGGAAGTTTTCACTCACAGAACAAAGCAAACACACATTCTAGGAGCTGCATTAATTCTGACAATGAAGAAGAACAGGGTACTTAGTGCCCCCAACACGAATGCAGCGAAGAGAACCCAAGCAGCAGGTGGGGAACTCTCCGGGATGGAGACTGTTCCCTTCCCCGTACAGTGACCAGCCCCCGTGGTGAGTCCAGCGCTACTAAGAAAACCAAAACACTCCGTACCTAAATGTGCCTCCTTGCTCTCCACAACCTTTAGCACAGTGCCGGGGCCAAAACGTTCAGCTCTCGCCTCCCACGGTGCCAAGACCCTGTCTCCCGGAGCGAGACGCCGTCTCCTGGCATCCTCGTAGTGGAGAATGTCGTAGAGAGGCGTTTCCTGCAGGCGGAGCTGTACCTTGCCTTTCCGAGCACGACTTTTGTCAAACTCAATTACAAAGCGTTCCCTGGAGCCCTACAAGAGTAAAACATGCGGTTTGCAAGGCAGACATCTGGGTCCAATTAACGGCCAAACATTAAGTGCTAAGAGGGAAGTGGCAGTAATCCCAGGAAGCAGGACGTGATCTGGAAATGCAGCTTTCCTCTTCTACCAGATTTTTCATTGCACTGTGTCCATATTGGATTTAAAAGTAAATAAAACGCTGGGGTCTAAGGGGCTGACAGCCTTTCTCTTCCTTTGGATCTAGATTTTAGTAAGAACACAATTAGCATGCTAAGGCAGAACTTTACCAGGAAAACCTCCCATGAGAAAATGAGTAGCCTAAAGAAACTGCTGCGCATGATGCAGTTCTCTACATAGCAATCAGAAGGGTAACAAACCAGTAAAATATCATAACTGTCAAAAATTGAAATGTTTTAATTTAAGTCTTCAGCAGTCGGTGTGGGGAAGATCTATTATTGAAACCTCAGCCTTGTCTGCAGATCTGTGAGTGCACTTACACAAATAATACTTTCAGCTCCTACTCCAGTCATGCCACTCGTGCCTGTAACTGTCCCCATCTGTTCCACCCCACACTGGAGCTTACAGACATCCTCACCTACACTAGCATCAAAGTTCAGTTAAATAACCTGCAAACAGCAAAATGAACTGGGTTTTTAAAGAAAGCCTACAGGGCGATTTTCCATCTGGCATCCAAAATCACCCCACAATTCCCAGAAACATAGATGGGAGAGAATGAGGAAAGCTCTCAGTTTGGTAAAGAGGAAGTGAACCCTGGAGACAGACATTTTGGATTTCTAGTTGCTATTTAGCTAACTGACTTTGCTGCTAGACTGGGCAAAAGTAGACAATAGGGATAAGGGACCTGTTTTGTTTGTTTCTGAATAAAACCTTATTATAACTACAAAAATGGATTGATCTCCAGGCTCCTTTTTCTTGCAAGGTTCCCCACAGTAAACAGCCAGTCAACATCAGGTGATCAGATAACAGATTAAAATGGGATGTGGGGAGATAACAGTGGTTGTGAAGTGCACTGTATCACAGAAGAGCCACCCCACAACAAGAGCACATGACTGGTGAGGAATGAGAACAATAGGGAAAAAACCCACAGATGCCCCTACAGCACAGTTTCCAATAAACAGTTACCTTCACCTCTCGGGCAATGTGGCCCAGGTAGTAATAGCCATCAGTGTCTCTCCTTGCCAACACACGAGCCCCCCTCACTAAACTGGACACCTCTGGGGATGAATCAATGAAATTACTCTTTGCTGAGGATATCAAGGGTGCACAAAGAGGACCTGGGTTCCATGCACAAACAGGAAAGCTGTGGAAAACAAAAATACAAGAAGTAATAAAGACCTTGGCAACAGAACTTCTGCAACTTACTGCAATAAAAACAAACTAAATCAATATGGAGCACACCCCTCACCCTGCAATAACTGTCTTTGATTCCCAGCTTTTCTCTTCTCTGCTTTTCCAGTAGCTTATCCACAGATTTTGAACTTACTATGTCATTGGACATCTTGGCTGCAGAGTGCCATGGGAATCTTTATTAGTGTGACAACACTGGACATGTGAGATGGACCTGGAGCTTACCTGGAAGGGGGAAGGAGGAGACGGAAGCAGAAAATGAGCATGATTTTTGAACACTTACATCCTTAAACTGGAATATTGTTAATAAAGTTTACTTTCAGTATATTACTTCTCTCTATAATTCTTCCACCATATCTTGTAATACTATGCTGCTTATCTGTAAGTTCACCACAAATGGTTTTGATTTTGAGAAATCAATTTTGGAAAGAAGAAATATTAAAAAATAAAACATAAGAACTATATGATAATCCCCCCCCCCTTGTGTTGCACCTGGTTTCTAATTATCTGCTAGGTATGTAGCAGGAGTATCACTGTTTCTTCAGTCATTATGAGATATGCTGTTCAAAGGACAATGTATCATTTCAAGGGCACTATTGTAGGTGTCCACTTTGGCCCATCTCAGATCCTATAACAGTTTTATTCTACTGTGAAGGAGGCAGTAGGTGTGCAATTCTTGGATCAGAATACTTTTACTTTCTTACAATTCTTAAATCAGAATAGTTTTACTGTCTTAGTAATCCTTACACCTTTTAGTTAACTGATTTTAGTAAAGAGCTTTGAACCTGGAAAAGACACCCATTTCTCAGGACAAGGCACAGCTTGGAGACAGGCAGCAGAAGAGGAGGAGGGCAGGGGTTCTGGAGCTGCCTCTCCCACCCCCGGGAGCAGGTACTCCTCAGAAATGCAGGCACATCAATCTTGCTGGCTCCCTCCCAGGCCCTCTGCCCCTGGCTCTCCAACAGCAGCGTGTGGGCAGCAGTGGCCACGTGTCCATTGCAGCTGTCCAAGCTCCCCCAGCCAGCAAGAGCTGAAAGGTCAGTGAAAGGACCTGAAGTCAAGGAAGAATGAAGGAAGTGGGGGTTGAGTCTAGGGAAACAAAGTTGCCTCTGCACGTCAAAGGCAGCAGTGGAGACATCTGGCCTGAGCAAGATGGAAAACAAAAACGTTTGAGAATGGCAACACAGGGAACAACATGCCAGGGACAATGAGGAGGCAGAAAGACAAAATACAAGGCAGCTGGAAGGTAGAGTTGACAATAAAACTATGAACCTTATATCAAAGCGTTCAGCTTTTACAGGAAAACATAAACTTGGAGCATGTTGCAGCATGTTTTTGCATTAATCACATGTTAAGTAAAAACAAAGATTGAACAGTTTGCTCTGTTAACTGTTGCTGAAAATGCATTAGGGCTGTTCTGAGGCTCAGATGAGCAAGGAAATTAAAATCACTTAACTACAAGGATGTCCACTACTGTTTCAGCTGAGGATGTCAGCTGTTTGGGATGTTAAGAGAACGAGATTATGTTATTTATTTAAAATACAGTATTTGATATCCTTCACCCAAGATGAAGGATAAAACAACACCAAAATCTGTGAATCGCTGTCCACTGGCTGTAGGCAAAGCTGTACAGTCACTGGCAAGGAAAATGGAAAACCTAAGTGAGGCATTTGTTCTTTCCTTGGGGCCTTCACCCCGCACCTGTCAGAAACACGTCCTTTCAAGTTGCTGGTCTGTAAAGTTCAACGAAATCACTTCACAGACAAATCTTTCCCTGTAAAAGTAAATGGAGCCAGAGCAAGATACACCCAAATTTGACTCCAAGTGTTGGCGATGATGCCTTTTGCTCAGGGGCTACACAAAGCACTGTCTTTCCTCCCAAGCAGGGATTCAAGGTACAGGTACTATACAACTGGAAGGCTGGATATGCCAACTCGGGATGTCAGGTGCAGCCTGGCACAGAGATGCCAAACCTATTTAAAATCTTTATCCACAGACTCCTTTGTTCACAAGCTGCCAGGTAAAACAAAGTTACTCTTCCAGAGGGTCACAGAAACTCTTCCCCAGTTCACCCTTGTGAAATGTCACCCAATAAAGATTCAGGAGGAACTAACAAGTATGGACCAATCTTACATTAGCAGCATACCTTGTCAGGAGGAGTAGGGGGGAGTCTGATTCCTTGAAAGGACCCCTCTGATAGTCTGGCTACTTTCTCCATTATTTTTTGCTTCTTTTGGGATCACGTGGATGTCCCAGAAGGCATACCACACGTACTACTGCATGAAACCAGTTCTCCACAAGAAGTTGGCAGAATTTCTCCAGCCAGATGCACCCAACAGACCTCCAACAGATACACCCACCGGCAGGCTGGTTTTTCCAATGCCACGTTCCCAAGCCACAGGGATCGAACCCGGGCTGCAGCTCCAGGGACGCTGCCGAGTGAGCACTGACCACTGCAACACCTGTGGGAAGGGGAAAAGGGAAAGAAGAACAAAAGCCCCTCACACGCGCAGACCTTCGCTGAGGCGGGACAGGTGGGAATTCTTTATTAGGTGTATCTGTGCTGAGGAGCCCCGGAGATCGCCTCTGCGCTCCCACTGCCGGCCCACGGGGCGGGAAGAGGCTCTGCACCTGGTGCTCCTTCAGGGCTACGGCTCCTTCAGGAACGCTTCAGGCTACATCCCGACACCGAGAGTGAATCCCCGCATCCCGGCCCCGCCACGGCGCGAGACGCCGCGCGCGTGCCCCGTTGCTACGCAACCGCACTCCGCGGGCTGGACCACCCCGGGGGCCCAGGGATGGACAAAGGGCCGCCTGACTCCTTTTAGCCCCTTCCTTAGAGACCAGCAGCCGGCGCCGCCTTCTGTCCGAGCCCCAAAAGCGGCGATTTGGCCGGGGAAGTCTCCCCGCTCTTCGACCTCCGTGGGCGACGGCAACTTCTGGGACTCACGGGCAGCCCCCGGTTAGTGCCGCCGCGCCGCTCCCGAGTGCTGGGCAGTGCTGGGCAGTGCTGGGCAGGGCAGGGCAGGGCAGGTGTGCGAGGACAGCGACACGGTAACGCTGTGCCCGGCGGGTGTTGCCGAGCCCCGAGATGTCCCCGCCCCGCGGTGTCCCCGCCCCGGAAGGCGGTGGTGGCTCCAATCGGCGCGGCTGTTGCTGGGCGGTGTGGGTGACATTGGGCACGGACATGGTGGTGGCGGCGCTGGGCCGGGCGGCGGCGGCGCGGCTGCTGCGGGCCGGGGCGGCCGCGCCGGGGCGGCGGCGGTGAGCGGGGCGGGTTTGGGAGGGTGCCGGGGAAGCGGGGCGGGCTGGGGGCGCCGGGGGAGCGGGGGGGGGTTAGGGGGGCTGCCGGGGGAGCGGGGCAGGCTGGGGGGGGCGGGGGGGGGGGGGGGGGTGGGTGGGGGTGCCGGGGGAGCGGGGCGGGCTCGGGGGGTTGCCGGCGGGGCCCGTAGTGAGTGGGGGCCCTGCGTGTGCCGCAGCGCGGGCGGCGGCGGGGTGCACATCGCGCCGCGGTACCGGCAGTTCCCGGAGCTGACGCGGGCGCAGGTGATCCGGAGCGAGTTCCTCAGCGGCCTCATGTGGTTCTGGATCCTCTGGCACTTCTGGCACAGCTCGGACATGGTGCTGGTGAGGCCGGCGTGGCGGCGGCGGGGGGGCGAGGGCCGGGGTCGGGTCCTGGCCGCGCTCTGACCGCTCCTCTCTCCCAGGGACACTTCCCGTATCCCGACGCTTCGGCCTGGACGGACGAGGAGCTCGGGATTCCTCCGGACGACGAGGAATAGGCGCGTCCAGCCGCGGGGGCCGGCAGCACACGGGTACGGCTCCCGCCGCCCCCCCGCACGGCCCCGGGCTGGGCTTTGCCTTCGGAGCTGCGGTGCAGCCCCGGGGCATCGTGCCCGGCTCTGCCTCCTGCTGGCACCGCCAGAGGTGCCCTGCTCTCAGCGAGTATTCGAGCACTGGTGCAGGAATACTGCTGGAAGCATTTGCCCGAGGTGTAAACGTGCCCAGTCTCTGTGGTACAGAGCGCAGGTGTTTGCACAGTTCATCACTGCCTTGTCTCGGTGCCCGAGTGCTCGAGACCAGGTAGTCCTGTTTTGGCAATATAAGCCTGCAGTGTAACAACTTGGTTTTTTATGTTGTACCTTAGCTGGTACCAGTTTAAAATTATTTTCTTTAAGCTGTTCTGTAGACCCCGCATTACCTAACCTTGAGGACATGCTCTCTCTGTTTATAGGGAGATCTGTCCAGATGTCCCCTTAAAGGTTTGAGGCTTTTGCTTGTTTCCAGTTCTTTAATTACCCTGTCTTTTAAGCTGTTGTGTCACATATTACAGCTCTAAAACTGACAGCTTCAACTACTGCCAAAGGCAGCATGGGCACTATTGAGGGGGTCCCTCTACTCTTCGTAGTGGGAAAAGGATGGGTGAAAAGGTTCTCAGGATTCTCTTCTGTTACTTTCAGGTCCCTGGAACTAATGAGGCTCTTGGAACCAAAGTTTTGGCTCCTGGGTCCTTATTTCAATAAAACTGTAAACAAAGTCTCGGCTAAATTGTATTTTTCTTTTTTAGTAGAATTTCTGGAGAATGACCACTATGGCTTCAGAGGTGGGGTACTTGAGTCCATGTGAGCTTCTGTAATGTCTGCTTGATAGATAATGTGTTGGCCCCAAGAAACAAGGTCTGTGAGTGCATAGTACGTAACAGTCTTACCATTAAAGCTCTGTCAAATAACCAATAAAAGGGTGGAGGGAAGTTGCCACAGAAGCAGGGGAGTTTACCCAGAAGAGAACCCAGACCAGCTGGTGCCAGGCTTTCCCCAGGGAAATTGCTTTGCTTGAGTACATAAAAGTCCAGAATAATCCTTGCGAAGCAAAACCCTTTGCAAAGGTAAAAATGCCTTAGGGCTCAGCACGGCAGTCAAGGAGGCAGTGGTCCAGCTTGAGGAAGCTGAAGGGAGGTGGCATCCCTTGATTTTATTTTTTTCCTTATCTTTCCCTTCCAGAGTTACATCCGAGAGTAACTTTTTCACTCCCCTTAACTACCTTAGTTGCACCTCTCCAACTTCATGGAGAGGAGGAGTTGAACATGACACAGTAAATAATCTACTTCAGACTTTTCCATGCAGTCAATCTTTATTATAGCAGTATTCTCATATTCACATCAAGTACATAGAACTTTTTGCCTTTCATATAATACAGAGTTCTTTAAATAACTTTACACAGAAATAGTTTTCTTCAATCTGAATTCAGCTATCAAATTTTAATATGTTTTAAGTCTCCATGCTCTCTAACCAAACTGGACAATATTTCCCATTGTACAAATTTACATGAGAAAAACTCCAAAGTACAAATGAAGGGACAACAAAAGTAAAGGGGGAAGGAACAAACAAGAAAAATAAGTTGTATTGGCAATTACAGGGGAAACTTGAGAAGGAACAAAAGGGAGTTGTCATGACCTACGTAACAGGAAACTGAAAATAAACGTTTTGTTACGAATTAAAAAATAAATACAAGTTTCAAAACAATTACTCCATTGTAGATTTTAAAAAGCAGCTATGGAAATCTACTAACACAATTGTTTTTTTTTTTTTAAGTAACCAGACTGGACCTTCTACTTTGCAGTCATAAGCCCCTTGCAAACCTCTGGTGGTCAAAAAAAAAATACAGCTGAAAGGAATGTGTTAGCACAGAGTTTAAAGTGGTGGGTCAAACATTTCATTGCACTAAGGAACAAACAAACAGAAGAAATTAAATCTGTATATAAATTTCCCTTTCCTCTCCTTACTACATACTTTGCCTCTCATAAACAAGCCTCTGTATTATGAGGTAATGCCATTGTCTTGACTATATATAAAAATAATAAAGTTTAAAGGATATAGATCTGGATATCTATAAACTTTAAACAAGCCAGTCCTCTCTTACTCCCCCATAGGGTCCAACTACTGAGTGCTACACCTTCTGTCATTGCTCAGTGCATCGTGCCTCTCCTGGGAACCCCCAAGAGACCTGTGCCCCTTTCCTAATCTAGGAAAAGCAGCCTGTGCTCAAGTGAGACAGAGAGACAGTGCAAGTAATGCACCACAGATCACACACACCCACACCTGCTCCTGCAGAACAAGGCAGAGTCACAGAAGGCAACAGTGGCCAGCCTGCATGTGTGTTTGGACAGGGCAAAAGGGATCCAATTAGGCATGATGGCTGATTACTTCTGCAATTGCTTAAGAATAATGTCACCTGCCCAGCCCTGGGAGATGGTCACTACACCCAGAATGAGGTGGGAGGGGGGTTACAACTGGAGGACAAAGGGCCAGGAAGAACATTGCACTTGGAGTCAGGATGACCATGGCACAGGTGGGCTGGCTCCTGCATCCCAGATTGTGGCAGACCCTGCTCTAGAGGCACAGGTCAGCACTGGATCTCAAACGGATTGATTTCAAGGGTGGCAAGAAGTATGAGGCAGGACTTTCCCCAATCCCAACAAATGAGATCAGAAGAACAGCAACATTAATTTGGGTTGCCAACATATGCAAGTTGGCCACTGTCAGGTTTCTGTCAATTGAGAAGTGTGGAGAAGGGGGGAGGAAGGGGAGGCAGACAGGACACAAGGCTCATGAAGGAATGATGTGCTTTTTTTTTTGGTTGTTTTTTTGTTTCTTTTTTTTTTTTCCCTAAAGGTTCACAGCTTTGAATAAAAAAGCACATTTATTGCACTTACACATTTTAGACAGAGTTAATTTAAATTATGCCCTCAGAACCCCCCACCATCCCAAAATAACCCAACACTCAAGTTTGGTCCATTTTCCCCCCCCAGACCCAACATCCATGCCCAGATGATGGGCTTCATTTCTCCTCCTAATTTTCCACTGAACTCCCACACACTCAGATGGATTTTCTTTTCAACTAGGGTGAATACACAAATGCAACACAGAATGACATTTAGCAGAACAAAACCTGACCACTTCCCACCCCCCACCCCAAAAAAAAAAGAAAACAAAAAAAGAAAACATAGTTATTTTTGTGGTTTACTTGCTCAAAAGTAAATGTCACACAAGGCTTATTCTAAAGTACAGCTGCTGCAAACATGACAAACTAGACAAAATGATGGACAGGCCACTGTTGGCTCTTAAGGAGACTGGATGAATAGAACACACTGCTGCTGGATACTATGAAGCAAATACCTAGGTAGTTTAGAAGTTTCTAAACCCTCCCATCAGCTCCCTTCTCTTAGGGAAAGAGTTTCTTTGAGATTTTCTTATGAAAAAAAAAACAACAAGAAAATAACCACCTTCTCACATGTACTTTTGGTACAGAATCTGGGGTAGGTAGAAGGATTCCAGATAGTCCCTGGAACATGAGTAAAACATTTTTACACTTTCCTTTCTAAATGGAACAAACCCAAATTAAAATTGGTCTGATATTTCAGATGAACTGTGCATTTGGACGTAACTTTATAATTTACAGTTATGCCCTAAGTCTTGCCCCAAAGAAAACGAAAAGATCTGAAAAAGCACTAATACCCAAACCATTATTTTGTCCCTCATGGACAAGTAGCTTAAATATGACACTGGTATGTAAGTACTGCCAGAAGTCTATGTAATCAGTTTGAAATTTGAACTAATCAAATTCACACATACTGGCTGTCCCTCAGCTGACACAACACCTACCATCTCCCACAGTTAATGTGCAATAACAGGATGTGATCACTGAAAAGCAACTGCAAGAGGCCCAAGGAAGAACTGAGAAAACCTGCTGATATTCCAGAAAACAAAACTTACTGCACTTTCTGGAACAGGGAACTGATTATATGATATATGTGGACTTTCATTACATGAGTACTAGCCATCAATTTCTCCTCATCTAGCTCTCATTTTTCATCTACCATCTCATTCCAAGATGCTATAACACTGTAACTTTGGGTCTCTTCAGAGCTTTCTATTACTTTTCTTTGACAAGGTCTCTGTGTCTGTGGAGGGGGAGGAGGGCTTGTTTTTAAATTGAATGAACCTCATTTAACTGTTAACAGAGCAGATTTCAAGCAGCAGGTTTACTGTAACTGAATTAGGTATCCTTCAATTCCTACCTTTGAAATGCTAATAGGTATCCTAGGGAACGCTCTGCCCTCCTTGCTCCTTTACAGAAGTTTACCAACTTGAAACTACCTACCTATAGTGATAGCTATATACAAAACTACTGCAGCAGAAGTAAACCAAAGACACTGCTCTAGTTACAAAGCACCTGGTTTACATTCTGTTGTACTTTTTAAGGTTGCAAAGGCACATGATCATTTGGCAAACTACAAAAACTGGTTTGGGGGTCCCTATGTAAACCTTTTAACAGATGGTCTTGGTAGCTCTCTTTTCTAAAGGGAAGAGATATGCTAGTTTTCATCTGAATTCACTCTCGGTGTCCTCTATATTCTGCAGCTTTTAAAGTTTCCTCCTTCCACAGGTTCATAGTTACTTACTGCTGTCACAGTGCTGACTTAGTAGCTTCTGTATTAGCATCCTTGAAACTTAAGTGCAAAGAAAGAATTTTAACAACTTTGCTCTGCTCTGCTGATAGTTTTATTTACTAGGCAAGAATCACAGAATATGCTGAGTTGGAAGGGACCCATCAGGATCACTGAATCCAACTCCCGGCCCTGTGTGGGACACCCCAAGAGTCACACCATGTGCCTGAGAGCATTGTCCAAATGCTTCATGAACTCTGTCAGGCTCGGTGCTATGACCACTTCCCTGGGAAGCCTGTTCCAGTGCCCAACCACCCTTTGGGTGAAGAACCTTTTCCTCATATCCAACCTCAATCTCCCCTGACTCAGCTTCATGCTGTTTCCTCGAGTCCTGTCACTGGTCATGAGAGTGAAGAGATCAGTGCCTGCCCCTCCTCTTCCCTTGTGAGGATATTGAAGACTGTAATGAGTCTTCTCTTCTCCAGGCTGAACAAACCAAGTGACCTCAGCCACTCCTCATATGGCTTCCCCTCAAGGCCCTTCACCATTTTCATGGCCCTCCTTTGGAGGCCTTATAGCCTAATGTCTTTTTTACATTGAGGTGCCCCAAAATGCTCACAATACTGAACATGAGGACGCCCCAGTGCAGAGAAGAGCAGGAGAATCCCCTCCCTCGCCCAGCTGGCGATGCTTTGCCTGATGCCCCCCAGGACAGAGTTGGCCCTCCTGGCTGCCAGGGCACTGCTGACTCATATTCAACTTGCCATCGACCAGGACCCCCAGGTCCCTTTCTGCAGTGCTGCTCTCCAGCCTCTCATTCCCTGGTCTGTGTGTACCTCCGGGGTTGCCCCATACCAGGTGCAGAATCCAGCACTTGCCCTTGTTAAACTATACACAGTTGGTATGGAGTAATGAAGCAGTGAAGAAAAGTATTTAAAATGCATATCAAAACAAATACTAAGTACAAACACACAGTAACAAGGCTGCAGCAAACAGAAAGTTTGTTTCATAAACTTCTGTGTAAAATGCGTAACAGAAAAGAATACCCAGCACCTTCAGAGTGATGCCCTAAGAGTCAACCCACGCAACTGCTTTTTAACTTGACTGTACCTAGAAAGCTTTTCTGTCACACTGTGCTATTGGTGATAGACTTTTTCAATAGAGAGAAGACACGTTGTATACAGTACTATGAAGGGTTTGTGCTACACATGCTGTACTCATAGTCAAGAAGGGAATGAAATCTAGAGGCTGTGAAAGTGTGAAATGTCTACATGCTTCTTCCCTAAATGTAGCCCCTCCAGCTATCAAAGCTTCAATTTGAAGTTGTTTGTGAGATGTCTGGGGATCTGGCTTCCTTAAACCTTCTGTAAAATGCCGGATGCATTTACATGACTAGGAAAACACAGAAGACAACCCATTTATGGGTGATCTTCAGTGTACTTCTTCTCCAATTTGGGCATTTGTGGAAAGACGTGATATTTATCAACAGCCAGCATTTTACTCACTTTATGTCACAAAGGCCAAATTCTCTAATCCAAGTGATGCTGAGAGGCCATGGTAAGATGGCAGTACTTGGCCTCAAACATTCTGCATCATCATCAGCTGCTAGAGCATTCAAGTACAAGAGGTAAACATAAAACGCAGAAGTAGATTCATTTAATGACCTGCGTGAGTTTAGCAAAAAAGAAATGAATGGGTTAATTTATCTGGGGCCATGTGTGACTTAATTCATGCAGAAATTACTTTGAAAGTACCCCAATCTCTGTACTCTTACCATCAGGTTTAAGCTCCACTACACTGTTCCAGTTCCAGCAAAAACGACACAGGAAACAATCACGTACTGAGAGGGAAGATGTAACAGATAACAGGCCTCATCTAACTGTATGAAAAAGGAAAGGCAGAGGGGAAGGTCTATGTGTGGTTGATAAAGACATGAATAGCTGGGACTGGATACTGGTACTTTTGCAAATAATTATTAAATACTGGATACTGTAGAGCCTGAAGAAGCTGTGTGACTGACGTTTGCCCCAACATGTGCACACAAAATATGTACTAACATTTCCATACTATGGAATGTGCTTGTTGCTGGGACACCATGAAGAAGCTTAAGGAATTTGGGGTAATGGGCATGAATGTATTGATCATTTCAGTTTACTTCCTTCATCCCACTGCTACACAGGGCACTCATTTCTCATCTACTCGTTTCCCCATTCACTAAACATTCTACAGGGCACCTTTAAGACTGGTTATGATGGCATGCAAGACATCCAGAAAAACTCCTGAAGGAAAAGATAAAACCAAAAATAATCCCAATTATTTACAAACCACATTTCTTCCAAAGTTTTGCATGAACATTATGTGGGACCTCTTACAGACAAACACATATTACTACACTTATCTGGAGGGAAACAAACAAACATGAAAACCAGTAGAAATGCATCCTGAAAGGACTTATCTAAACAGCAGCCAAACAACTTGCACATTCCTCAGGGAAAAAAAATCAAACCAAAACCAGAAACAAAAAAGAAAAACAAAACTACAAAAAAACCCCAGTTAAAAAAGAAAAAACAAAACAAAACAACCCAGAGATCATGTGTTACTTATAAAGTGCTTTGCATGGACAAGGATAGCAATTTTCCTTGTGCTTTTCCTATGGGCTCAAGAAGCATATTGTAGACTAATGGGTAATGAATCTCCACCAAAGTAAGTTCATTTTAAGCAAAGATAGAACAAAGTTCCTAACAGACAATCTTCTGCCAGCATGACTTTGTGGAAGGAAACTAGGGCTTTTAACAAGCTCTGTGAAACAAATGACTGTTGAACCACCTGTCCATAATTACTCCATTAACAGTTTCTTCCAAGAGAACAATAATTTCCAGTATGCCTGACATGTACAAATGAGGCCAGAGCCCACAGAAGGGCTGGAGCCAAGCATGGGGTGAAAGGAGAAGCAGTGACACTTCACCCTCTGGGAGCCTGTATCTGGTGAATGCTCTCACCTGCCTGCTGACACCAGTGGCCCCAGGCTCCCTCCACCTCTTATGTACTGGCCTCAGATGATCACCAGGGAGAACTCTGACTTCACCAGTCTTCACCACCACTTGCACATTGGCTTCTCCAGACTAGAAAGTGGCTATTGCTACTTTTTAAATTGCTGCCAATCTCAATAAGGAAAAAAACCTTACAGCATCTGAAGATCCACGGCAGACAAGAAAAAATTTGTGCTTTTTTTTGTTTGTTTTTAAAATGCATCCTGTACACAAAATCATTTCTATTCATGTACCAACATGAATCACTTCATTCTTGTAGTGACTATTAAGTCATTCACTATTGCTGTCTTGCTAATGTTTGTGGAATTAATATGAATACACAGTATTTCAGTTATAATTCCCACTTCAGATTAGTCCGGTCCCTATAACCCCAGTAAATATTTACTGACAGACACAACAGACCACCAGCAACACCGCAGAATTCCAGGGTATTAAAAGCTCCTTCCACCACCAATGTGCATTTCCCCCTTCACCTGGGAGCAACCTTCTGCAGACAGAAACAGTCTAACTCTCCCCAGGGAGGGAAGAACAGTGTCCTCACCCAGTACATCCATCTTTAGCATGGACACCACATTCACACACATTTAACTCCTTCATTTATTTGTCACGATTTTGTTTAACATCCCCCACCACGTCTAAGCAGGAACGTCCCTGCCGGAGGGGGGGTCAGTTCTCCTGCCTCACCTGCTGTGGTACAGGGCCAAAACAAATCAAATTCTGAAAACTTCTGTCTGAGCTTGAGTTTCTTTCCATATGGTCTGCCTTGCCTCTGTACAAACAATTTACAGGTAATACCACATACCAGAGAACTCTGCAAACAGCTCACATCACAAGATATTCTACTAGAGGTAAACGATGTGCAGAACTTTATGAGTTGTTTTTTCCCTGACTGGGTAACTTGTCAAAAAGCTACCAACCATTTGAAAACCAGGATCGGAGGACAGGAAAACAAAGCAGTCTAGTGGAGATACCGCCACCTTCATCCTAGTTTGCAAAGTGTACAAAAGGGAAAGACAAATGGAAGGGAAAAGATGACAGGGAGGAAAGCAATGAGAGGAGAAGTAGTCAGCGTGGATCCAGCAAGTACCGTTTTGTTTTGATCTAACAACTTGCCATTAGGACAAGATGCTCCACATTTACACACACGCTTATCGGAGGACGTTTAGTTAACAGGATAAAAATCCTCTAAAAAAAGCTCTTGAAAGTACCAAAACATAATTTTTGGAATGTCTAATTCTAGGGGGTTTTGTATTTGTATTCAATTCAACCTGAGAACTTTTTTCCCCGTTTACGAAAACATTACATATTGGTAAGGTACCTGGCATTAACCTGCACCCTCATTTAAAATAAAACTTTTAAAGTAGGTACATACACCATTCACAGTCTGTATCGGGAACTCTACAGACTTCAGATGCTGCAGTAGCATCTTTGATAAATACATTGTATCATATGATACAAAGAAAAAATAAAAGAGAGGACAATATCGCTACATTTTTTTTTAAACTTCAGTTTGTTGCTGGACCAACAGAAGAAGGATCTACCTAATCCTTCTAAAAGATGTTGTATATGCACACACCAAGAAAATACGGGAAAAGGAAAAAGGTTAAGGACGGTGGCCGTTGTTTGTTCTTTTTAAGAAATGGTAAAGTAAATCTGAAAAAAGGTGCAGCAGCATCCCCTTTTCCTTCAGCTGAACCTCTTCGCCTTCAGAATAACATCTTCTCCAGTTCCCAATGCCCCACACTTTTAATTTTAAAAGAATAAAATCCAATAATATAGACAGATTGAGGTGTTTGACACTGTAATACAGAGAAAAGGGGATACTGCATTGTCCATAAATCAGTAAGTACACCAGGAAAAAAAAGGATCAGAATGGAGAATGGTTCTTTTAAATTAGCACTCATCAGATTTTCAGCCTCTGATGGTTACACTGTTAGAGGGAGAAAGCCGACCGGCAGACCATCCAAAGCAAGTCTCCTAAGTTGCAGCAGCAGTTCCATCCCCTCATGCCCGAGCACCACAGTCAAACCACGAGCGCCCTCTCCTCTCTCCTGGGAATGATGCCAACGGCACAGGCAGCCACTGCGGGTCTCCGAATGCACGTGGTGGTTTGTGTTGAAGGAGAAACACTGGCAGCAGAGGACTCTGGTTCCCAAAAAGGTACTTTTTCCCATTGTGTTGGACTGGCAGTTCCATTCTGCTCCACTTTTAAGCTTATGGATATCTTTTCTAAATTATTTTAGGTTTTGCGGAGCAGAATGGAGTTTTGATGTTAAGAAACTGTAGGAACACAAGACTTAAATAACAGAGTGGGTGCTGCCATGGTGCTGTGGCTACTTGAACGCTGCAAATTCTCCTGTAGAGGGAGGACAAGAGCTTGGTTTAAAAAGGTGATTTCAGTTACTAGGCAGTCAGAGATTTTCTCTAGACTAGCTGAACATCAGGTTGAATACAAAAGATGTTAAAAATGCAGACTGTTAAAATTAAAGCACAAGAGAATACATAGTGAGAGAACATTGAATACAGACCCAGCATATTTAACCAACATAGAATTTCTTGAAAGCAAGCTGTACCCATTCTTCCCAAGAACTGTGAGAGTTCAAGCAAAGTCTAAATCATCATGCATTTGAAAAAAAAATGTGTCAGCTTGATTTTACTTTAAACTCCTTATTGCACATATATCCTCCTGAGAAGCAACAATTTCCATAAATGTGTCTGACTGCAAACTAGTTTCTATTCTGGTGTAAAATTGGTTTAATAACAAAGAACTGTTTGGCACACCCATTAACCTTCAAAGACTATATACAGTAAAGTGCCTGAATATAAAACCAGTATTAAAGAATGCTACAATCTGGTTTAGAGACCAACATAGCAACCTACTGAGAGAAAAACAAGAATGCGGAGGTTATCTACTCAATCCCAGACCAGAAATTAGGCCTCACTAACAGAGAGCACAACAAATAAAGCAACCACATGCTTCCTTCAGAATTACTGAATAAAAAATAATTAAATGCAGTGCTTTCACATGTGATGACCTCCTGAAATTCTACATAATTTATTCAGTGATAGACTGGTAGTCCCATTTCTAAAAGGGACTATGGCACAGAGTAAAATTGCTGCCCAAAGTCTTTAAGGAGTTTCCCAGAAGATTGAATAGAAGCTGTATCTAACATACTAACCCTCTCAATCTTATGATTTAGCAAAAAGAATTTCCTGCCACCCACAAAGAAATTGTATTCTATAGGATTTTCAGTGAGGGGTGTCCAACTACGCATAATCAACTGGACTCAGGAGGAAGAGAAAAAGGAGCAGACATGTAATTTTCCTGTTTGGGTTTTATATGAATTTTGGGTTAGTTTACGTTACTTTCTTGACAGCACTTCTCAGAGCTTTTCTAATAATGAAGGAGTGATAAGTAGGCATAAGAGACCCTTTGTTCTGTTCAACAGAAGCGTGCTGAATGCTACTACATCCAAACAACTGCTCCCTATCTTGGTGTCCTTCCATCTTTTCAAGAGCAACTGTATTGTTGGCTTTGTTTTGTCTTAAGATTCTTATTCTGAATATTGGAAACAAAACAGAAACATCCCTGCAAACAAAATTTTAGGCTTATCATGGAATGTCTTGTTCTATAAAGAAGAGAACCAGAAGAGTCATCAGCAGTCTGCATGAGGAGGGGGAAGAAAAGGCATCTAAAAGGCCTGGGAGGAGCAGCTGATCCAGTTCTAAGGGAACTTGAAGAAAGCAGGGAGAGCGCTCTGTGTGTCCTAAGAAATGAGAAGGGAGTACACCCAAGGTCTAAAGTAAAGGGGCTGGCACAGGAGGCAGTGACAGACCTAAAGTTCCATGTGTCTTTATAGACTGTAGTGGCAGGTTTAAGTTACAACAACAAAGGAATAAAAGCTTCACGATGGATCTAATTGGCTATTTTACAAGTTCTACCAACAGATAAAACTCTTGCTCTAAAATACTCTAAGCATTTGATCCTTTTTTCTTGCTGCTTTCTGCTACATTTCACTGATCTCTCAACTCTCTTCACAGTATCTTCTAGAAACATCTAAAGTTTTGTATATTTTTTCTTTTAAGAGAAGGACAAAAAAGTCATCAAGTATTGCCTGTGAGCCCAATTTTTAAGAATGACATTCATGCCTAGCTACACCTTCAAAACACGCTCTACTTAATTTATTTTTCATTCTGCCTTTCTAAATTGCTGATTAAAGATCAATTTATAAACAAGAGATGGCTCCCTCATTACTCATCTTGTCCTTCTGCCCATTTCCAGTAATAATTCAGATTTTAATAGTCATATAGGGATTTCAGAAGATAAAAGATGAACCTTCAACTGGAAAAGGGCAATGGAAAAAACAAGATCAGAAGTCAACAAGTATTTCAGACAGTATGGTAGCTTTAAAAAGGTAGTTTTCAGACTTTGCTGCCATTTAAATAAAACCTTAGCAAACATGTTTTCTTTGACGAGCTAAAGCTAAATCTTGCCTTTCAAAATTCTGGTGTTAATCTGATCTCAAATCAATAGCAGACCAAAAAAAAGTAACATGGTCATCTAATAACAGGATTATGTTGATTGAACATGTATAAAATGCAGATAGCAGCAGCAGCTGCCCCTAGATGAGGAATGCAGATGGCTATACCTATCCAAGTACAGGAATCCTTCATCTAGGTGTCAATAGAACCTTCTGAGGAGTAGCTGAAGTACTCTATGTCACCCTTTCTATTCTGAAGATGTAAAATATCTGTAGCTGGTTCTTTTAGCTTCCAGAAGAAACCCCACCTGAAAAAAGGGGCAGAGAACCCAGGCAAACTCTTCCTGAGGCTAAGATGCATACAGATAAATGAAGTAACATGAAATGTGAATTCATCATTTTCTAGCAGGCCAGGAAGGTCTTGCCTGAGAGCAATGTAGACAGCTCTAGGAACATGACCCAGTGTGCCCTGTCCTGATTCTGCCCTGCTAAGTCTTTGGACACAGTCCTGCAATGGCAATGCTAATCCAAACTGGGACTACTGAGGTCCCACTCTCCCTCTTGACCTGGGCTGTAGAGCAGTGACCTGCCCATCGTGCCACACCAGCACTATGTGTCCTTAAAGCAAGATGGTTCAAGGAGCTGATGTAGGAAATGCTACCTCAGGCTGTTGGGCAAGGAGAGTTTTCTAACCAGTTTTTGGAGAGTTGCTTTGTTCACGGTGGGGGAAACCCACACAACTGCACAGAAGAGACTCATGGAATTGGAGAGCATCTGCCAGTGCAAGGGTAAGGAGGTAGGTCATGGCTGATCCAAATCAGATCAGTTTACCAAGAAGCTATGAAACCACATACTTAGCCATTTGTTATGTGAAAAAACCCCAGACATTTATATTCACTGTGAGCCAGACATCTGAGGTGCTTCTGAGCAAGCAGAACTTCAGATACTTGCTTTGACTGGTAACAAAGAAATTCCTTTCCAAAGGATGGATAGCATCTGAAAACATACGCTTCTTACAAAGCCCTTTCAAGTTGGCTGCTACAGTCCTTTCACGCTTGTATTATGCAGAGTGAGTGCAAACTATTTTAAATGCACACTTTCAAAAACTCTGTACTAAAAAGATGATCAAGATCTTTCATGTTGCCTCCAAACAATATAATACAAGGGCATGTTTTGAGTGAACCTGCTGCCCTTGATTCCTGGAGTGATTCAAGATGCAGCTACCATTCTCTACTCTCACAATTCTATGTTACCTGGATTCACAAGGTTACTCAGGTATATACACAACACCGTAACTGTCCTCCTTATGCTGGGGTAGATGCCATGTTTCCGTGAAGAATCATAAGGAGAATAATGGTTCCCTTCCAGGCCTGTGCCAGCCTTATCTACTGAAGTAGAGAGTAACTGACTTATCAAAGAGAAACACCTTGTAATCTTGCCTGGATTACATTCACAGACACAGGAAAAGTATAACAAAGAAGTAATTTTCTGTTGGATTTTGTGCTGATCTTTTGTATAGATACCATCCATGGGGTTAAATAAAAATTTGGAACATCTTCTAGAAGGTATCAAGACAGATTTTGTTTCTATACCGAGATGTAGGAAAGTAAATTAAAAAAGAAGTTCACCTGCTATAAACTACTCCTCCAGAAAAACCTGAGATCCTACGACCTGTTTTCTGGACCAATAGGTATCTGTTTCTGAACAACATAGCTGAGTTGCACCTTTGAGAACCCTGACCCCAATCCACAGGTGTAGTTATCATCTTCATCCTACAGATGTTCCCAAATCTCACTGAAGCAGCAATTACAAATTACAGAATGCTCTAAATGCCTTTATGTCAGATAAAGTTAATGATCCACAAAACCCAGCCTCCTTTTAGGCTTCATAAAATGTTTAGTGAGAAGCTAAGATCACGTTATGGCCATGGACCTCAAACGGTGCTCGACGTGTAAGAACAGGTGGGACGGGAAGAATGCACTGACCATGCAGCAGGAAATGGGGCCAAGTGTGTCTAAGGATGGCAGCATTTTCCTCCCATAACTGTAGTTCCTAGAGCACAGACGAACAATCTTAACAACGAGGAGGATAACACTACTCCAAGGAGTAACTTGTTTGAACTGATATGGCAGATCTGAAAAAGAGTAAGCCTGGGCAGAGCAGTGATGATGGTTCTGCACTCTCTGCAACTCCCCATGTAGTCAAGACTTTTCTGTGTGGAATGCCACATTTCTAGATTCTGCAGGAGACCCACTAGCATCCTTTTGCTCTGAGATGGGCATTGTAGCCTGTACTGAATACCCCAAAGCTTAGGAAGCATTCCTCATCATTGTCTAGAATAAATATATAAAATAAAGAATGAGAGAGGAAAACACTTAAGTCCTGTTTTCATTTTAAGATAAGCCTGCCAAAATGAGGTAAAGCTACCAGAAAGATGGGAAACAGATTTTCTAAAACAGTTAACAACTTTCATCCTATATAACTATTTCCATAGAGGGAGATTTCAACAGCTAAATTTTCTTGACTAAGAAAATGAGAAAAATTGTTCCAACAGCAGAAGCCAAAAAGCCTATTAGAATCCAGCCATAAAATGTAGAAATTGCCTATATCTCTTCCAGTTCTCTACATCTGCTTCCCATTTTAAAAGGCTCAGTTGTCAGACATCAGAAAGCCAAGCTTTTTGGAATTCCTGACCTATTTCAAAAACTTATTGGTAGCAACTTCTCCATGTAAATCAGAAGCCACTAGGAACACTCTTGGCCCCTGAAGTCCTAACAAGAGCAGCAATAGCTTATTCTGATGCAAGAATCTGTGAAAATTAACAGCTTAGCTGTTTAAACCAAGTAAACCCATGTAACTCACCTCAAAATATGCAAGAACACTGTCAGTACATCTTGTTTTCATATGTGACATCAAAGACTGATACAACCTGAACCACTCCTCTGATTTACCTACTCCAGAGGAATGCTCCAGAGCAAAAATACAAAGTGAGTTGGCAGGATTTTGGTAAAGCGTCTAGCTTTCTCAGTCAGATATCTAGTCTAGCTGACTCCCTTCTAATCAAACTAACAGCTTCTATATGGAAGTGAAAAAATCAATTTGTCATGTTCAGTGGTATTCTTAACAATATTAAAATAATTAAAACCTTTCATCTTCAGAGAATTCATGGTAAAACACCGATTTCCATGAAAACAACTGCTTTTTCAAATCTTCTTTTCCTATTATGGGTGTTAAGCAGCATTTTTTTCAAAGTATTTGGTCATGCTTGAGGTTTAAAATGTTTTTCTAAATTTTGAAATCTGTGCTAATTGAAGGATACAGGCACCATTACCAGTAATAGTCTTGCAGTTTGGCAAAAGCAGATTCAGAATTTCTTCTGTGTTGCATTGTAACAGAACATTTTGATATGGTCTAAAATATAGCAGGTCAGAGTATTTAGGGGGGAAAAAAATTAAAAAATAACAACCCATGTCACCACTCTTCTGCAGGAAGAGATGTTCTCTAAACAGGACTATTTTAAATTTCAACTTTCAAAATAAGAGCCACACATAATTCAGGGCTTTCTCTGGATTCTGTGTTGTATCTGCTCACTTCTGCTGACCACAAGAAGTTTTGACTGTGTTCAGCCTTGAAACTCAGTTTATTTTTCCAGTTGTTTCCCACGTATGAACAGCATTACTAAATGAAGAATCTAAAGCTTATTGCTCAAATATAATGACCTCAACTGAAGTAAAAAAAAATAAAACCAAAACAACACACCACCATAGCTCGTGTAATTAAAATCAAATACACTCCTGAGTAACTAATTCCAATCAATACACTAGGCAAAATTGACACCCCATGACCTCAAGAAGACCTTGCTTGTTTTGAAGTGACTTTTCCCATGTCTCTTACGGGACGTTACAATTCCTCTCGTGCCAGCTGTTCCCAGGGCACTCGTTACCAACACAGACTTTGTGCTCGGGACATTCAATGCCCAGTGTTGGGAAGTGAGTCTTCGTTCCCCCAGTAAACCTTAAAAACACAGCTGGTACAGGAGCTGCACTCACAGGAACACACCAGCACACAGACACACAGGTACATGCTTTCACATTTCTTTTCAGTGCACTGGAAACCCACCGTATCCCCCTGCTTGGATGGGCGTTTTTGGAGAAGCACAAGCATATAGACTAAAATCCTCTGTCTGGAAGCCAGCCCGGTTTAATGAGGGCTCAGATGCACTGCGGTGAATTTTTGGCAATGACCGGGCCAGAAGCTCAATGGAGGCAAGAATCTAAAACAGGTAGAAAATAAACAATCAAACCTGTTGTTCCAAAGCTGAAACTCTTTCTTAAAACCAAAGGCACAACATTAATTAACTACAGAAAAATACTTAAATTAAAACAGAATTTTTAAAATATTGATTACTGCATTGCATGCTTGATGTTTGTATCCTGCAAAAGTTGGAAAGGACAGTTTGGGAATTTCTCCCTTTATAAAGGCATACTAATTTCCCTCTGTAAGCACAGTGTATACAGTTGCTTTTTATTTGGCTCCTTGTCCAAGCACTAGTACCTGTACCTGCCATTGCTGCAAACAAACTCAGCTCTGGCAGCAGTTTGCTCAATACCATTTACCAAAAAGTCAGCAGGGGGAGCTCCTTATGTTTTGAAAATTATTTGGTTACATTCAAAGCAGAAAAAAATCAGATTCCCACTCCCCTCCTCCAAGCTTTTAGAACCCAAACCTTCCTCAGCAGGCATGATGAAAATCAAGTTTTGTGGCAAAACTATCAGTTTCCCTTCATAAAGCTTGGGGGAGAGTAAGAAGGGGGGTATAAAGATTTCTGAGCACATATATGAAGTTCTAATTTGTGTCTAACTATAATTATTGATTTCACTGTCTCCCAGTTGAAACTTTCTCCAACATATAAATGCTTTTCCAAATACACAGGTCATTTTACTACATGTGTTTTGAAATTAAAATAAGCACTTCTAATTAAACAGCTCTAATCAGGTACTGAGCCAATGCTCTTATGAAGTCATGCTGTAACACTAATCAAAAAAATTTGGAACTGGCCAGTGAGTTCGTAACTTTGAATTCTAAAGTCTATTGAGAGTTAAACAGGAGCATTTCTCACCTGTGGAAAAAGGGGTCTCTCATCTCTCTTCTTTTTTAAGCATTCTGCCATTAATCTCTTCATAGCTTTTGGACAGTTGCTCCGTACTTTGCTGAGGTCTGGAGATAGATATCCTCGTCCCACCATAAAAATTATCTTTATTAAAGGGGGAAAAAGATGAAAGGGGAAGATGATGAGTCCATAAAACAAACAGTAAAAAAAGGTGAACATTTTGCAAGAACATTTTAGTTCCAGCAGAAAGTTTTCTGCTCCCAGGAAACATTATCTGGTATTGAAATTGCCAGATTTCTTAGAGCAATGCTTGCTAACCTATTCAGTACAGAGAAAAAATTAGATCTTTCCTCCTCCTCCTCCTTGGAGAGGTTTCTGTGAAACTTGAACACTAGTAAATGGTTACCATTTATAGCAATAACCATCCAAGGAACGGTTCTTCAGTGTCAAAAACTGTGACAAAAACAAGAATAAGCAACTTTGGCAGGAACAGAATGTCTAAAAATAAATATTCTGTAAAAGGAAATATTCTGTTTTATAAATCAACAGCAAGTTCACGTGGAAAGGTATTTTAAGAAATACATGGACTTTGGATATTAAAACCATGTAGCTTTTAAGAATAAATTCTGCCATATACTTTTCCAACACAAAAGATCATTCTTGACATCTGATCACCTTCCCCACCCCCAAGAAAACTACAAAAGAAAAAGAGGTACTGTCTCTTCTCTGTAGAAGAGAAGACAGACAGGTTTTGTATTTTTACAGTAACTCTTTGTACATGGAAGGCTTATATTTTGCCTAAGGATAAAAGTTAAGCATAAACCAAAGTAAACGGATAGGAAGCAGGAAAACAAAACATAAATATGGTTAATGGTCTCTTGTATATATAAAAAAACCCATCAAACATCATCATGTCAAGCCAAAGTCAAATGCAATGTGGTTTGAGTACTGCAGTTGCACTGACACTAAAAAGCCCTTCCAAACTAGCTAATCAAAGATCCATTCATGCTGCAGCAGGTAATCACTGCCTTTTCTGAACACTCAGGCAGACCCAGCAGGTGTGTCATACCTTCTATCTAATGAAGTGTAACTATTTCATATCTTGACATTGGGGAAAGAAAACCATCGGAAACCCCTCACATCTCAAGCATGCCAATCATGTTATTTATACTAACACAGTCCTGGTCCTTTTTCAGCTTTCTGCTTCAGTCACATCTGTGTTGGCATCAAGGAGGAATATAAAACTCTCATATGGTTTCTTTAGAAATCTCCATGTGCCAGAGCAGCATTTCATAGTAGAGACTTATGTACCCTGTCCCTTACCTCTGCTGCAATGAGACTGACCATGATCTGTGTTAATATTTTCTAAATAATTGCACAAAAATTATTCAAAATTCATTATTTATGTTTCAAATACTTTCTTTACAAATAACATAGGGATTAAACTTTTACTTTGAACTAGAGAAAAGAGATTATCCCTACAAGAACAGTCTAGAAAAATCTATTAAGGTGAGAGGAACACTCTGAGGTGTAACAAGAATGATGCTTTGCTCACTAAGAATCTTAGTTGTGTCATAGTAGCTGAATATTTACAACTTTGGAGATAACAGACAAGGAGTGGCAAAACTCAAGACATTAGATCACATCGCATATGGTGGCTTCACTTGCATTTTAAAATTTGTTTCAGCACTTAATTGTAAGCACCTACATCACTGGCACTGGTACATCACCTACATCATCTTTCAAATCTCAAAAGGTAAAGACAAGACAATGTTAAATACAGTTTTTAGAAGGCTGGATCCATCTGGCCAGGAATCCAGATATCTCCCTTCTATCAAAAGGCAAAAACAAAATTATAAAAAAAAAAAAAATTAAAAAGAAGGAGTCACTCCAAATTTGATGAATTGGGATGATATGTTCTGGCAGATATGGAAGCAGCCTTATAAAATGGCATTCACAGATGAACGTTGCTATGGTTGCAGTTCTCAAGTACTGACAGTGAAAAACAAGAGATGAGGACACAGAAGCAACATAAATACATCACTGCTTAGACACAGAATAGTTCACACCAAAGATCTTGATGCACAGATACTATTTTCAGATTAGACAGAAATAATGAATCAGGTATGCCTTCCCAAAGCACCTAACCCATGGAGATATATTACAGGCATGAGGTATCATTAAGACTTAAGGAATATTTGTTCACAATTAAGTAATCTTCTTCCAGGATTCACACACTCTGGAAAGTCATATACTCCATCAAGCAGGGTTTGAGAAACGCTGATTTCCTGAAATTCAGTTAGATGGTGCATCCATTTCTCAAGATTGAAATGAATACAAAACATTCAGCAAGATGACTGTTGTTCTGTTTTGTCCTGTAGCTGCACTATTATTCCATGGAAATGGAGGGGTGGGGCGGGGAAGAAATAAAGAGGAATAACGGAACGCATATATAGAGGATTATTTCGCCTTTGCAGAACTACTCTAGATTACTATTAAGTAACCTGCTCTCTCCCTAATAAGTATCCTGGCAACCAGTTCAGAAGCTGAGAATCTATAGTTAAAGTAAAAAAGAACACAAAAAATACCTCAAGAGAAGTAAATTAATTGGTGCTATGTGGCTGAGGCAGATCTAGAAAACGCAGAAATGTCATCTCACAACATCAGAATTGGAAACATCAATCACACAACACACCAGAAAGTGCACTACCCAAGGCTGAATCGACCTCTGTTTCAGGCCACAGCTGACCAAAGTCAATCCCTTCCCTTACCTGGTCCCTGTTGTTGATGTTCGAGTATGGTAACTGTCCAGTCATCAATTCATAAAGAACAATCCCAAATGCATACACGTCTGACTGAAAGCTATATGGGTTTTTATCTTGCATCCTAATAACTTCTGGCGCCTGTATCATAAAAAGGAAGAAATAGTTTTCATTTCTCTACATCACACTGCACCTCACATACCAGGAACAAAACATAGACTTTTCCAGAGTACAAGTGCAAGGCCCACTCTTCACAGGTTACTGGGTGCTAACACAGAGTGGGTGCTGACATGAATCTCATAACCCATTGCTTCATTATAGTTTGGTGATCTCTTTATTCCTCTATGACAGAACAAAATTACCTTGGCCAGGCTGAGAAGACATTTGGAAACTAGGATTATAACAATACTGAAAATAATGCCAACTAACAGAGTTTTATGTTTTTCCAGGGAGAAAAGGAGAAACTGGAGTTGCACAGGAGTTGTACTATGGAATAACCATGCTTGAATTCTTAAAACTTAAGAGCATCTTACTTTCAGCTGAGCTAGTTCCTCTACTCTTTTGCAGGATGTTTTGCATGGTTTTTCTCACCTTCTCTTCATCACTGGATTAATTATACCCTTTTTCCTTAGCCACCATTTTCTTTTCAGTTTAAACCTCAGAATAAAGGATAAAGACACTAAAGTTTTTTTGCTGACTACTGGAAAACATATGCTTAAAGTACAGTTGAAAAGTATTAATTTAGTACTTCATACTACTGCTTGTCTTTTCCAGCTTAAGACAGCTTGTGTATATCAGTGTGCTGAGGAATAGTGTAGAAATTGTGGCCAAAGGCAAATAAATTTGTTGAAACTAACTCACCACTTCCCCTTTACATACCATCCATAGAATAGATCCAGACAACTGTTCAAACTGTTGGGATCCGCTCCATCGTGATTTCACTGTAGCTAGACCAAAATCACCTATTTTTACTGTGAGGTCTTCATGAAGAAATATATCTAAGGGGGAAATGTTAAGGGAAAACAGACAAGAAGTGCTGGTCCTGTCCTACAAGAACAAAAAACAGCTACAAATTTGCAACATACACATGACAGTTTTTACCACTGACCACCATTGAAGAAGGTTTTTGTGGAACACAGATTCTAAGCAGCCAGCACAAGGAATTATGCTACTTAAGGGTTACATAAGTAATGACTGGGCCAGTGCTGAACAGACCACGGCCAGGTGGCTTTCTTGAAGCGCCAAGTACTTTCTTGAAATGCCAAGTATGAGGAAAGCTGAAAATATTTCATGAGTGAACTGGCACAATCTTTCATTACATGTAGAAACCAAAGGATGCAAAAAAACCCCAAAACCTCCTATGTTATTGCAATGAAATCAACAGACACTGTAGGCATCCCTTATTTTGCTGTTACTGTTATTACCTCTTTTATTATTGATAATACCCCTATCACTCAGTGAAATTTCTACTTGGCAAATACTCATACATGAACAGCTTTTCACATCATTAAGTTAATCTCTGGCAGAAAAAAAAAAAGGAACCAGGAATGCTGTCACATTCCAGAATTACATCTCTGGGAAAGGATACTATTACTCTTGAGGTCTCTGTGGATGATTGACTTGGCATGCAAATAACTGAAAAGGAATATCATAGATTAGGTGGGTTAAATAATATTTCGGTAATCAGCAACTCAAAATTCACTGTATTGCTGAAACACAAATTCTGGAGATATTCAAACTGCAAGGTGGTAAAACTTCAGTTACCAATGACAGTTTCTGCAACGTTCACTGAAAAAACAAGCCAAAAGCATAATAAAGCTTAGATTTCCAGCTCAAATCTGATGCTGCTGATGAATGAAAAACAATTATGCTCCAACTTCTGCTTTTCAACTCTAACTCAATATTCACAATAAAAACTACTTCAGTAGTTTTTTCACATTCAGTGCTGAAAGTTCTGCCTCCCAGCCTTAATGGTGACTGTCAAGACCCTTTGCAGGCTAGTCACAGCTTTAGGTCAGGTGTTTCTAAATGTGCTTCCCAGTGTCAGTGTGTACTCAGGTATGCTGACTGCTTTCAAGTACAAGAGTGGAAAAAAGATCCCTTGCAGACTGGATAAATAGATGGCAGGGAACACAGAGGAGAGTACTTGCCCCACAGCACAGATACAGCCTAAATTAGGCAACCAGTCTCCCATGGCTCTTTGTTTAGTCAATGAGATTGGCACTAAACTCCTGGAAAAGCCCCAATTTATGTCTCTGCTTTGAATCATGCTCATAAAACAGTTTCTGCATCTCCACTACCTACAGATGGGGCCTGGGGAGATGAGCAGGCTAACAGAAGGCTAAGGCTGGTTGCTGCAAACACCTCCCCACCTCTTGACTGAAAATGTAATAGAATACTTCATAGAAAAATGGCACAATGAACTGCAATCATCATAGTGGTTTTTCAGCTGGAGGGTGATTTCTCTGATCTTACAGCAGTGCTCTGATTTTGACATAAAATATTGGGCTAGTTTTGTAAATTCTAACTCAACAGTCCTCTATGGGAGTAAAGATTATTTACAACCCTTAGAACTAAATAGGTATGTTTTCTCGAAATATTGAAATCTGTTATTTAAAGAGCTATGATACTTATAAAAAAAGGAAAAAAAAAACTGATTCTTTTTGATAACAGGGCTGGGTTGTCTGCCTTGTGCATATCTTACGGAATTTTGTCCTTTCATTCACAGGGTGTTTCTTTTTAAACTATGCTCTACCTCCTACCATATGATTATCTGCATTGTAAAGTTTGTAAAGACTCTACTATTTAAGACTGTATTTTCCTATGTTCCGAAAAAAGCACAAAAAGTCTATTTTACTCATCAGAATAATAAACACTTCACCAAATGCTTCGATGATCGAGACAGGACCCTGGGCTCGGCTAAGTGAGCAGATAACCAGCCCTATTTGCCAATGTCAGCCACAGTGGAAAGCGGATAAGAAAACTTTGCCCCAGAGCTCATTTTCAGACAAGTAATACGATACTTACTCCATGCCTTGTGCAGTCTGTCGTGCAATATCAATTAGCTTGATCATTTCAAATTTGGTCTCAATGATGTGTAGATGGTGATACAAGCTGGACCCTTCACACCATTGTGTAACAATAGCCAACTGGGGTTTTGTTGAATAACCCATGAAAAGCAGGATATTCACATGTCGTGTTTTCCTGTTTAAAAACAAATAAAAATGAATAGGAAATCAGGCAAAACCCAGGCAGGTCTATCACAGCTGACATATATATTCCCAAACAGAAGTTGAGTCAATCTCAAGTTTTACTAAGATAACACGGTAATCTCTTGCTAAATTCAGTTTAATGAATTATTCCAGACATTAGCCTTTCTGATTATAATAACATGGAATAACTACTCTGGGGTAAGCACAGCCTCCCCCAGGCATGCGCCTTAGCACAGGACTGCTCAGAAGATACTGTTTCCACTAGGTCCCCATGGACAAAAATGGTTTGCAGGCAGGTCTGCTTTTCTGTGATCTTAGTCCAGCTACAACATGTTGCTGCCCATAAGGAAGACATCCAAAATGAAGTTCCAGTCTCAGAGGCTTCCAGAAAGGACAACTTTTTTGTTTGTATACCATCAACACACCTCCTTGACAAGTCTTCAGTTTTTCTTAGGACTTTTTTTTGACAAGAATTTGTACTCTCTATGAAGCCAGCATGAAAGAAAGGATGGAAACAGGTATGAAAACTGTTCCTCAGCAAGGTTATGATTTGAACTTGTTTCCAAACAGCACTTCGGAGAAACTAGAGTTCACCACAGAGATTTGACCAGATTAAATCAAACCTATTCCAAAGATGGAGCAACTCCATACAGAAAAATTTCCCAATGAACAATGCAAAAAGAACTATCTCGGTAGATATCCCAGTAGACTCAAGGCCTGAAAGAATCCACTGTGAAATCTGAAATGTTCTCCTCACCCTCAAGGACAAGTCAGTCAGATTCTTACTGCCATCAAATAGACAGGAAGAACTACATACATACCTCCAAACATACCAAGGAGATTTTACAAAGATGAGACACCTAAGAATTACAGAGTATTTCCTAGCTTTCCCAGGGGCTGAGGAAAAATAAAGGCAATCTTCTTCCATATGTACTAGAAGGCAGTCAGCTCTCTGCTGGTGAAACCTGACGGATCAAGCTTAAAACCTGTGGTAGCTTGTTAAGTCTTTGCTGTGGTGGAAGATGGCAGACCTCTTTTATGTTTTCTTATGTTAAAACTAACATGGGAGCCCAGAGTGTGAACCTTTGTCCTCGCAGAAATGCAGACCAGGACAGTTCTATGCTATGTGACTGTACCTTTTTCAGGTTCACAGATTTGTTGAGTGCTGCTGAGAGTAATTGCTGAGGGAACAAAAAATATGCAGTTTCTTGCAAATCTGGCAAAAAATCCTTGCAAAAAATGATGAAGCATAATGGAAAAGGCACAATAACGGGTAAATCTGACTTGTCTAGGTCAAAGGATAGAACAACTGACTACGTAAATGCTGAAACCATCATCAACCAAAAAGGCTGGACTCCAGCTATGGGACTGCTGGCACAAATCTGGACTAGCTATGAAATATAAGATTTTTGATTTCATGAAGTTCTGTCAAAATTATGTAAAAAAAAGAGATATCCAAAGCACAAATCTGGACTAGCTATGAAAAACAAGATTTTTGATTTCATGAAGTTCTGTCAAAATTATGTCAAAAAAATGAAGAGATATCCAAAGTACCCTACCACAGAAATGCCTCTACTTCCACGGCTAAGAGCTTAGAGTTTTTGGAACTAACATTTTCCCTTTTCAGCGTGTAACTTACTGGGGATGTTTCTGTAGCACAGGCACCCAGCTCAACACATCAGGTTTCCAGAGGCAAAAACCTTCTTGCTATTTTGTTTTTAAAACAGAATTAGGTTCGACAATGCTCAAGATTGTACTTGGATGCAAGGTTCTTTCCCAATAAATATTCTATCATACTATGTTGATGGATCTCCTTTTAAGAGCAGAATCCAAAACAAATACCTCCTCTGAGAAACTACAAGCAGTAGACATGAGAAAAGGAAATCAAGAAGTGATTTTATAAGAAATACAATTTAAAAAAACCTCAAAGAGAAATTAATGCTACTGAACAGAAACTATTAAACAACAGATAATGTGGGCAGTGCTGCAGCTGAAAACCAACAATTGGCATGCTCTCCTTCAATCTCAAAATGTGAATGTGAGGAAAGAAAGGTCTACAGCTCACACTTAGGCTTCACTGTGCCCTGGGGGCAGTATAATAGCAAAAACCAGTCCTGTCTTGAGTATTTTGACATACACATATTGACAACACAGGTGTGCAGACAAACATATACAGGGGAGGGAAGAACTAGCAGTGGATACAAAGAAATAGTTATTTTTTCTGCCTGAAGTATCATCACGGAGGAGTAAGACCAATGTGTTCTAATGGAAATTTAAAATTCAGTGATTAATGAGGCACAAATTTACACACATTATTTTATGCCATTAAAAATAATCTTACCTGAGCACTCCTACTTCATTTTTGAAAGCCTGTAACTGCTGAGGTGTGGGTGCCGTAACATTCAACATCTTCACTGCCACATCACCTTTAAAACAGCAATTTTTAGTAAGTGCCACTGATACATATTCCTCTATTGAGAAAATGCTATATAGAGCATGAGAAATACTGAGGTACCCTGTTTTCTAGCTTTCACTACAATATTAAAGTAAGTAAATACTCAGTGAAATGTAAAACCACTATTCTTACTTTACTCTGAGGAATCCAATCCAAGCCAAAGCTATTAAAACACACATTTGAAATCCTCATTCGTCAAGATGGATACTTCAAACTAATAACTATGTTTCATCTTTACTCTAATAATGCCTTAAATCAGAATAACATGCAAGAATTGAGTCTCTAAACAATATGAAGTCCTTACACTACTTACTAATTTCCAAATCATATTTAGTGCCCTTCAGTGGACTCTCCCTATTATGTTCCAGCTGGGTGACCCCTGGCAGGCAGAGTGACTTGCTGAAGAATAACTGTTTGCCATGATGGCCACATACCATGCCACTTTCCTTTGTAGACTGTTCCAAATGATCCAGATCCTATTCTTTGTCCAACTGTGATCTGTCCATCTGGTATCTCCCAATCATCACTTGAATCCCGTCGACCAAGAGTTTTCTTTATATAAATGAAAAAACAATAAAGAGTAAAAATAAAAAAAAACCCAAGAAAACAAAAAACAAGTGCATTAATGTCTGTAAAAGCAGTTCCTTTGTTAAAGATTTGGTATCAGCATTTCATATCATTAAAGTCCTACAAAAACTTTTTTTTTCAGGTATTGTTTTTGACTTTTCAAATACACAAAACCTCAGGACACAGTTATACCAAATTATTTCCTGGCATGAAATATTTGCCACAGCTTTCTGGCAGCGTTAAAACCAGAAAATATTAAGAAACTCTTACCAAAAAGAAAGTCATATTTATTTTTCAATTCTTATTCAATCACAATGTTAAATTGTGAATTTAAAAAATGCAGATATTTTTATGCATTGTTACATAAAAATTTGTTACATATATTTGTTACTATCAAAGTTTATGAATCATGGTCGGAAAAGTTAAGCTGTTATGTGAAGGGAAGCTGACATTACAATATGAAGCACACCAAACATTTGGGTGCAAGGGAGTAAAAGTGAGTCTAGTCAATTATTTAAGAGATTTATATCTCAGTCCCACAATTACTTATTGGTTCAAAGTGGTTTAAAAGTGGTTCTCCCACTCCATTATTTACTGGTTTAAAGTCCTTGATCATTGCCATAGTCATCTTCAAAATAATTCAGATGGCTTGGATGAAAGAAAAGCGAGAGGAACACGATTGCATAGTATTTCTATACTATGAATATCCCACACTACAAATAAAAATAGCTGATCTTTTCCTTACCATTCTATTTCTGTCTTCTGAGGATGAGGATGATTTCCTTTCCCGCTGGGGTCCTGGTGATTTCTGTAACGCTTTCACATTGGTTAGTGACCCAGGCAAAGAGGCGGGAGGTGTTGCAGACAAACCTGTGGTTGAGCCTAAATTTCAGAAACAGGATAATTTAATCTGTAAGAATCCAGCTTACAAGAATGCACTGATATTAGGTGCAAGAACTGTGTTTAAGATGCAGTATCTCCAAACATCAATGCAAATGTTAAGAGGGAACAAACATATCCTAGGAATATTGTCCTAACACTAGATTAGCACTCGAGTCTCAGATTTCAGGAGAGACAAGTCTATAGCAAACATCCCTGTATAGATAGTCCCCAGTCTCTTGTTCATGAATTATCAGAAGGACAGTGTCTTTTTAAGTAAGAAAAAAATATTTTTAAATGTATTTTTTTAATTCCATCGGTTTCTTTGAGTAGAAAAGTTTTAGTTAGCAGCATCTACCTCAGAGATTTCTTGTACCTAAGCTTTTAGAAACCCAACAAATAGCTGAAATACTGTACTTTGGAACCAAGACAGACTAAATGCAAATAATTGAAATGTTTTCTAGTTGAGTCTCCAAGTGCCACCTGAAAACCATTTGGCTGTTTTAAAGCTATCTGTTAGCAGAGAGCTCTTATTTAAAAATAAATATTAGACTGTAGAAAGGATTAAAAAAACCCAAGTACTTTAGTTAGCTATTTGAAGCATATTCTATGAAACACAAAAAGAACAGTATGTCTGTAGCCTGTATGTTATCTAAACAAATCTGTGCAGGAAAATGTCACTAAGAGAGCTGTTTCAGAGCCCCAATGGCCCTTCACAAATAGAGCACTTTAGCTAGACACTGCTTTTTAAAATACACCACAATTATTCGTAACAAGGTTATGCTGACCCTTCCAATGCAAAGGACATGAAATAGGGTCAACTGTTAATTAAATTCATGCTGCTCTGCTAAACAATGTATGTCACTGTACAAGACCTCTAACATTACAATGCTTTCTCTCACATTAGCGCTCTGGAAAGTGGTGGAAGACAATACTCCTCTTCATATTCTTTCAGCAACCCCCTTCTTTAACCAAGAAGTGCCTCCTAATACCAACTTGAGTTCAAAAACTGACTTTGTGGCTTTTAAAACTGTTGCTCAAGTTCAGTCATTCAGTGCATGCTAAATTATCAGACTAAACACCGCTGTCCTCACTGAGCTAAAATCCATAAATTTAGAAGTGGAAGCACAAAATAATGACATACAAATACACAAAAAATGGGACACAGCATCTGTAAACTCTGTCCCACACGCTAAAGTAACAATAAATGATGCATATTGGGCATCCTAACTACAATTATAATCAACTGGAAGTCTATCCTAACAAGACCTGAAGGAAGGACTTATGTTTACGTTACAGTCACTATACTGTCATAAATTTATTATATAATTCATCATACATACATGGAACTAAATGTATGATGTTTCCAGAACATGAGCAATTTTCCAAAAGTTTACTGGGTTACAGACTTTCTCTGCAACAGCAAAGCTCTACTAGAATGCGTTTTCTTTTGAGGTAACTAAAGTCCCCTACTTGATTTTAATACCATAATATAGAAACACTAGCACAATATTCACCCTTCACCAAAAATGCTTACAGCACATGGCAGAACACTGTAGTTAATCTGTTCATAATAATACCAGATGGCCTGTTTTCCAAGTTATTAGAGTAGAATACTTCAGATAATGTTGGACTTAAGTCAATAGCTTGGGCTCTGAAGCTGTACGTAACGTATTCCATTCTGTAGCCAGTTTGCTTGATGGGAACACCTGTCTTCTTACAAAGACTTCTGGAAGAACTTTACAAGTTCATAAGGTGAACTGCTCTTGATATATTCTGAAACAAAAGTCTTTGAAACAGCCAAGATGGTAGCATTTGAAAACCACACTACATGCACTGAACTGACCATTTCTACACGTATACGTATAGACACAAGAATTTACATTTCATGCTGTTACTCAGTAGTTGGTTTCTCCAGCATATAAAATCCCACAGAGTTTTTTCAGGATTTTGTGCAATACAACAGATCCATTGACAGCTTAAGGCCTCAATAACCCCCAGGGTCAATGACGTGAAAATCTGTGTTTTTTACATAGTACAGGACACAAATACTGTTTCAGTGGAAATCTGCTAACTAAATAAAAACTACATGGTCTAAACCATCTAGGACCCCAGTGTGATGTCAACAGCACATTCTCAAAATGAAGTATTTGTTGAAAGTTGACACATTACTTGAAAACCTTGCGACCTAACAAGATATCAATGGAAATGTTTGTAATTCACATTTAATTTCCTAAATTACTTCTCAAAACAAAGAATATCAAATATAGAAAACTGTTATAGCACTGAACTGACTTAAACTGAACAGTCAAGGAAATTCTAAGTTAAGGACATAATTTTATCTTTAAAATCACTGCAGTGTAATCCAAGGACCTTTGGTTAGAAAAATTATGCTAAGGTCCGCAGAAAAACCTCAACTATGAAATTCCTTGCTTTTGAAGATTTAAGTCAGACTTATTTATAGTCATTTTCAAGCGTGTAAAGGTGAAAGTGAGTATGTGTGAAAAGCACATTCAAAGCATTCCAGCCAGGCCAAGCAAAAAACAGAGGTGTTTTGATAAACTCACACACTTACATACACACGGTGTGAGGGTGAGGCACAAACAGCATCTGTGGTTTTATTTATTTTGTTTGGGTGAAAACAAGAAAGAAGAGCCCAACTACCTCTGAACACTGGGCCAGGCTCAAAATCAAACACTATTTCACTGGGGACAGAATGAAGGAGGGGACTGGGAGTCCGGGATTGGTATTTCCGAAGACAGCGCATCAGCTGGTTCAAAGGGGCTGTTAGAGAGAAAGAGACGGGCAGGCAGAGACAGAAAGACAGACACATAGAAGAAATGAAAGAAGTCATGGGAAATAACTAGGATGCTTTGACTCCTATTCATAGATTGCTTCTGAACTTTGAAGGAAAAAAAAAGTCAATTACTAATAACACTGTTTCAGGACTGGGAATAGCCAATTGTTTTCAGATGCCAAACAGACAGTTTATGATCAAAAGTTAAAACCAATATGATCGCACAACATTTAAATGCTGGACAAAATGGGTAAAACTGTGGAGAGCCACACCTATCAACACATACAAAAATAGCTAAAACTGGTAACTTTCAATTAGTAAGCTTGCAGGTTTAAAGGAAATTTCTTTTTCAAAAGTGTTCTATTGCTGGCATAATTAAAGACAGCTCCATCAAACACAATGCAGTAGGCAGGTAGCATTCTACCAAATATCAGATTTGCATGGGACAAAGAAAGTCAGCGACAGCCCACAGAACAAAATCTTAGAGATCAGGAAAGAGTGCACTGAAAAAATTCAGACCTAACTTATGGCTGAAGCAAGTTATAATTAGTAGGAGACAACTGTGTTACTGATTTAGAGTTGGAAAAACTGTCATATGCCTGCCCTACTTACTACTTCTTTATTTCCAATAGTTCTATTTTATTATAATACAGCACATAAGAAGCCCTACCTGGACTTCAGAAGCCAGTGGGAGAAGTGACTTAACAGGCCTGTGCTCAACATGTGAAGAAAAATAAACTTTCTGGTACTAGTTCTGACTTAACTGTGAATTAGAGCTGTGCATTACTGAAGGAAAAAAAACCACCTGGCTATAGTGAAGGGTCCTAACAACCTGCTTCCAAGAGTAGCACAGGCATGCAGTACAGCAAAGCAGCAACTTCAGCGGGGCAGAGGGGGAGAAGAACTGGAGTATTTCACACTGCTTTAGGATGCAGCAGTTCATATGGAAGGCCCGTCTACCTTGTCGATGGTTTTCAATAATAAAAACCCCCACTGTTTCCATGGGTGAAAATGTAACAACAGGTGTAAAAATCTTTGAGAGAGACTTGGGAAGTTATAGTGTATCTGTGTGCAGCCATGTGAGTAAATGTGTGTGTGTGTGTGTGTATGAGAGAGAGAGAACAAAGAAGTGAGAGTGCAAATTAATTTTAAAACTAAAAAAACTAGATACTGCTTCAAAACTTTTTCTCCTTCCATCTCCCCCGCTCCCAGAATGACCAGCAAATGACTCAAATCTTCGTGAGACAAATACTAAGTTCATGGACAAGCAAATGTAAATTCACTTTTTGTTCTAGTCATATTTTCCTTTGTGCCTGTGTTTTGTAGAAGGAAGTAGGGTAACAGGAACGGACAGAGTGGTTGTGTAATTAAGTGTAACACAGTAGTTAGTTTAAACGCTACTTACCTCCCTCTCCTCGTAAACCCTGGTCTCTAATCAATTCCTATAAAAAATTAAAAAAAAAATCTGTATTTAATTTAGGTATTAACATTTAGATTCTGGAATCAATTGATATTGATTAATTTGAGAATCCATAATGTCATGCATTGTCCATGAAATAAAAGTGGTTTCCTATTCTGATTTAATAATAGCAGCGCCTCCAAAGAACTACTTATAACAACTACTAAACTTCTCAAAATCAGTTGCTCTAAAACAGCATCTCTCAGTAGTAAAGTGAAATGTACACTACCCAAAATAGATGCTGGCATGAAAATATTGATTTAAAAACAGAGTTGGCCAAAATGGATGAAGAAATATTGAACTAAATGTTCTAGTTACACTGTTTGTGGCACAAATGATTTGAAGTGTCACATTAGAAGCTGGGACATCAATTTCCTGTACTGAGGTACATCAGTCAGATGAGTCCTGCTTCATTTTTTCTTAAAACAACACACCTGATTTGCATAGCCAGGCGCACTCTGTTCTTCTCAGAAATGACTAACTGCAAAAGGTTTCCTTTGCTTGCAATACATTGTGAACTGAGAGTATCCTTTGCAACTAAAAGCAAACTACACTAAGGATTTTCTAAACAGAAGAAAAGTAGAAAATTCTAACAGTTTCCATCTGTATTCCAACAGTTTTCATCATGGAGCTTTTTTTTTTTTGTTACACAATTATCTTTGTTCCCTTTTTCGTTACACAATTATATTTGTTCCCTCATACACCTACGCTGCTGTTGAAGGCACTGGCTATGCCTCAGCTGCACCAGTGCCATATAGCATATGTAAATGTCTACACAGCCACACTCTGAAAACTAACACTTCACCTTTCCATCAGCTCACATGCAAAACAGATTTTGTGCCTCAGTGTCCAGGCAGACTTCGAGACTACTCAACTGACAAATGAATAATTTCTAGAGAGCAGACTTAAGGGTAAAATACAAGCTGTGTATTTTAGCAAAATTAGAAAGCGGTTGTCATGATCAACATTTTGAAAGGTTTTAACTGTCCTTACACTGATATCAACCACTATTATTAATTACATTTCACCATTCAGAGATTTCAAAAATGTGGAAAACGAGTTAAGTGTAGCTGTTTCTGAACACTCTAAAAGAATGCTCAGAACAACATAAACTGGGCTCTTGAAATCCTAAGGTACTATCGGTATATCTGAACTCACCTTAACTTAATAATTCTTCAATGCCAGAAATGTTACTTGGAATACAAATACTAAAAATCTCTATCTTGCATAAAAATGTGCTTAACACACAGAATGGCTTGCAAGAGTGGTTACTGGCTACAGCTAGTAGCAAGAGCCTTGGGACTAATAAGAGAAAAAAAAACCAGTGGTTTGGGGCAAAATGTTTATTTGAAAATGAAAAGGACAGGACTGTCAAGAGGCAGTTCTCCTTTGGAGAATGGGTTATTTGTGTTCTTACAGCTCTCAACAGCAAAAATGAATCTATGAAAAAATGAAAAATGAACGATCCTTGAAGACTGATAGGCCACTGAGGATTAGCTTAGAAACACAGCACTTGTGTGCACATGATAAACTTAATGCACTGATATTCAAAATGAACACATCAAATCTACTATTCTTGATCTAATTGTTATTAATACTTACATCAATATTGACTGGCTCAATTGTATTGATGTGGACGTTGGGAGCTGAAGAGGATCGGTCGCGTTGCCCAAACTGATTCCGATGGTCTTCATCTGCTGGTCGGAGGGGCTGTGGGATTGGAATGGATTTTGAAGGAGAAGGACTAGGGAGAATTGGTGGTCTGAGAAACAAAGTCAAGGAAAAAGAGGATTTAGGTCTACAAATGGCTTCAAACACTGCATAGTGGGTGTGGTAAGTCCTTTTCAACTATAATAATACATACATAAAAAAACTGATCTAAAGGCCTGAATAAAAACAATTTATAATGAACGATCTCTACTCCCCTATGATCAATTGCAACAACTCTCTGCTGCATAAACTACCTAATTACATGGCTGTGAAGTGTTCTGAGTTAAAACAAAACAAAAAACTCTACCATGCCATACCAAACTAGTAACAATAAATCCTGATCTGAAAAATTCATGTAGCCCAACATGCACTGCAGACAGAAAGATACTCTGCAGTTTCCTCTGAGTCGATGCAACACACTCTTTAAAATGGTAACTCATCAAGAACTAAAAATGCTTAACATCTCACATCAATTTTACAGGCAGAAAATGTCACAAAACAAATTGTATGGATAGGATTATTGATCAGTAAATATAGAGTGAAAATTACATATGGTCATTGAACCTAACTGATTAATAATATGGCCAATTATTATTGATACTAAAAATAACATGGCCAATGTACTATTGATAATAAAAATCAACATATCGCCTTTTAACCTCAATCTGTAAGTAATAACTTTGAATAGTGCAACATTTCAAATGTTATTTACAGTGCTACAGTTAAGCAATGCAATAGGTTTGACTTGAATGATAAGCATTCAGACTACACAGACAAGATTCTTGAGGAAATTTAAACACTGGCAGTCATAAATGTAGATAAAGTCTTCAATTTATTGTATAATGAATTGAATATTTAAAAGACAAAACATCTAAACACTTGGGTTTTTTGTCTGTAAAAAGGCAGAAAGTCACTTATTTGGTTATCCATTAATTTTGCTGAAGTACAATAAATTGGCAATTATCTTTTACTCTAGTCAAGGTCAGTCCCTGTTAAGTCTAATGATTCAATCTAATGGATATAAGGCAAAAGGTCAATGAAAACATTTGCCAGCTTTGTCAAAGAAAATTTTATGTTAAAGTATATATGGTATCTGACAACAAGGTTTTTAGGAGCGAGGGCTTTTCTTGCCAAATTCTAAGAGAGGAGTGGAGTCCTCCATCCATTCAATGACTCATGGATTAATTAGTATGCCCACAAAGGCAAAGCCTATAGGGAGAAGCTTCAGAAATAAAACATACAGCAGCATATAGCAGCAACAGATCCTGGAGCCACCTCCTGTAAGTAAACACTCCTTGGCCTCTCCAAAGGTATTCAGAGGCAACTAACATTTTCAACAGGATCTCTTGGCATTTTTTATGAATCAGGTCTGCTTTAAACACTACTATCCTACCTTTCACTGAAGAGTTTATGTAGTTTGGCACTGGTCCCAGAACTCAGTGCTATCTGTATCCTAAGGACTTTTCATCTTTTCCTTCCTGGCCAACAATCTCACAAAATTGAGATCGGCAAAACAAAGCTCTTGTGAATTAATGCAAGCAACAGTCTAGTAAGTCTTGTAGTAAAATACATATGTTTGGGAAGTGTGGCAGGGAAGAAGAGGTAGGGGGTTTAGCCATGCTAATTTTTAAAAAACCAGTTACCTATTGTCGTATGACAGAATATAAATACTGGGAATGCACTTGGTTGACATTTTAAGGTACTCTGTTTTCATGTTAAGGCAAGTGTGCCAGATGTTGCACAAAAAAATACAAGAAGTGTAAAAAGTGTCTCAGCCAGGTCAGTACTGGCATTGTTCGGATAGCTAATTCCTGCTCAAACTTCCTGAGAGTTCTCTGGTAATAAGGAAATTAAGGGAGATGTGTAAGAACATCCATCAAATCACTGCAGTAGGAGTGAGCATGAGACACTCTCTGAGCTCTGCCACATGATGAGGACAGAAGCAACCAGATTTTCTATGATCATCAGTAAGATAACAGAGAGAAAACCAGATTGAAAAAGTATTGTTTCAATTACATCCTCCTTTGAGTCATAAATGGTCATCTGCTGCTTCTGTATTTCTGGGCACAGGTCACCACGTCCATCATGTTGCTAGCACAGATAGCATGCTATGTCACACATATTTGAAAACAATTTTAATAGCTTTTTCCACTCATTAAATTCTAACTGGGGGAAGTCCAGATCTTTAGTAAATAATTACAGGCTGATAAAGAATTCCCTTTTTTTTTTTTTTTTTTGGAGTCTCTGAACTATTATTGTGAGGGTCTCTGGGCTTCAGACACCAAGAATCCAGAGATGGGAACCTCATAAGCACTTAGCCATGTGCTCCATCAGAATTTTATTATTGGGCGTCCTTGGGACACTTATAAAAAGGTAGGTTATTTTTGCTAAATGGGAATTTTACTTGAAAAAGCAAACTATTGAAGAGAAAGACATAAGTGGTTTGCTGGTCAAGATGGCCTACTGAGATCACAGGCTCAGAAGATATTACCACCAGCTTCTGCCTCTATGTGGCAAAAGCTATTTCTTGATCTGCATTGAGATCTTGATCTACTAAAAGCACATCACCCCAAAGAATGCAGCAATCCTCTGAGCTACCAAAAGCCTGTTTGTACAGTATTCCTACATTTTAATTGCTCTAGAAGAGCAGAAGGGACACTGGAGCTACAAGGACAAGCCATCATCATTTGGGAAAGGGTGACATTGTCTATTCCAGGCCAGTCCCAAATCTTGTTCTGTAGGCTATGAAAACACATTGGTCAAAAATAATAAAATAAGAAAATCAGGAGGACCAAAACAACTTGTACAAAGAACTGTTTACTGTGACATACATGTACAGCAGGCTGAGGCTTAAAGGAGCCTCAGTCTGAATACCAGGATCTGAGTTTCTGTTGCTCCTGTGGAATTTGTGAGCTTTTTACAGCCACCCTGCTAAAGGAATCCTCCTACAAATAAGATCAATATTGGAGTGGTTATACTACCTCATCTTGACCACTTTCTCCCAGCCTCTTAGACGTGGGCATTCCTTCAACAATGATCCTCAGCTTCTGAGACAACAGGGTGATAATTGCCAAATCTCAATTTAATGTTATAACCTTTCCTGACAATATGACCGAACTTGCTTTCACCTTGGACTATGTATCTGGGGTAAGTACATTGTTCCCTTCCTTTTTATCAAGACAGAGTAGAAAGAGGTTTTTGTCAGGAGACAAGAATAACTGAATATAACATGTAAAATTTTTATACCCTTTAGCAAGCACAGTAAACGCCAATGTGTCCACAGATTTACTATTCCAAAAAACTGGATCCACAGGAAAGAGTAAGGTAACTCAGAGAAGTGTTCACGCATGGTATGTTATATATGAACAAGCAATTTTATAAAATCATATACGGTACCTCCACCAGATTTTAGAAATTGTAATGATATAAGTTAGTTCACTTTACAAATACAAAACAAGATTTTTATACAGATTTTCTGCAATCTCCTTTAACTCATCAATGTGATGTTTCATAAATGTTTAAGAGCTGGTCTACTCAGGAAAGATTTTTCTTAAAATATGTTTGTTTGGGCTTCAAGTTTTTTTGCTCATACTTTTATTTTGCTGCAGTTGGGCAAAGGCTTAAACTGAAAATTCATATTCACCTGGCTCCAATTATGGGGTGTGTGCCAGTTCCTTTTTGAATGGACTAAGATTTTTGCTATCCCCCTTCTAGCCTGAACAAGTACATCTCAGTTTAGTCACAGGGCTCAGTGTTGTACGCACTATTCACCTGTAGGTTGCACAGTCATACTAAGGCCAAATCTAAAATGTGTTTTAAGGTGGTTTTTTTGATTAATTTTGCTTACACCAGAGTATGACTGGATTTATTTTTTGTTACTGCTGTTAATGAAGAACACAGTGCACTTCCATTTTCAGGGAGCTTCTAAGGACTGCTAAGGATCTGGAATACAATGATATTTCAGCTAGTGATTTAATTCTCGTGGTACTCCACAGATATTGCCAGAAAACATAATTTTTTTTCCCAACTCTGCAGCCTGGAAATATTCAATAACCTCAAATCAAATGGTGATTTGGAGAAAAGGACAGCAGTATCAGTTTGTAACTACAAGGTGAAGATCACTCTTGCAGCACCCTTTGAAGTCAGTCTAGAAGTAACATGGGACAGTTCTGTGACAGTCATTACCTCATAAAAATCAGTGCAGTTTTCTATACCATGATAACTTGTTTTCATCCATGTTGGCTTGTAGGTGAAAAAGAACTGCCAGGATTATCACAACAGTGTGCATTTATTTATACTGGCCCTTGGGCCCAGATCAGAGCTGATAAGCCTAACATTTCTGAAAGCTTCATACACCAGGGGCTATCACCAGAATCACACTGCTGTCATTAGTCCTCCAAACCAGGTTTCAGTTCACTAGCGTGTTTTTCTAATAAAGTTTAGGAGAGCAAGAGGTTTTCCCCTCCTGTTGTACAGGCTAGAAACAATTTTTCTAAAGACTCTGGTAACCAGACCTTTTCTGCTTGGCAAGAATGCGTATCAAGTTGTATTTTGTAGGAACTTTGGGAACATTTACATGGAAAGGCCTGGAAAAGATTCTGCCAGCATTTTTAGGGGAAAATTTGTTTTATGAAATAAAACACAAAGCTTTTGCTCACTTAAACATGATGGGATCTAAATGCCATTGTAGTACTAAATACAATATTGTAAGACTGTGTCTTTGCTTCCTTGGCTTTTCAGCAGCTTTTCTAGACATTTAAATATCTTTGGCTGAGGCAGAATGATCAGTGAACATTTGGAAGACAGAAAGGAAAGCAGAGGTGTTTAATCACAGGCTGGAGCCTGCTCAAAGGCAGGGACTGGCAAGCTTCCAAGAATGGTGCACCAGACATTCCCTCTTTCTTCCTCCAACTTAGAAGATGAAGCATATTGGGAAATGTTGTTTTTCAAAGAGCCAAGATGTTGCCAACTTGCCTACCAGCAGTGTTCTGCCTGGAGCAAAGGAGACGTTTTTGGCTTTTACCAAATGCAACCTGCCCCTGTGCTATTCCAAGTCTGACCACATGCCCTCTTACACCCACTCCACAGGTTACTTACCCTGCCATAACACCTGCCTCATGTGTGTGCTGAGTTTTCTCCAACATCACAACATCTAAGAGAACAGATCAGAGTTGAAAAAAACAAAGTTTGGAATATTCTGAATGGCTAATCTCTCCCTTATGCAGGTATCTGAGATCGAAGGAACTGGGTTCACAGAAATTCTGTGCTTGTGTTTTACGAGCAAAGATACAGAAGAAACTTTATGACAGTGCAATAAACAAAACGAATACAATGTATCATATACAGTTTGCTTACTTCAATTTTATTACAAATGGCTCTTATTAGGAAGACCTACGCTTCTTGTATTTCTTTCCAGTTAAGTGCAGATTATAACTAAAATGGCTGCTTTAGCACAAGAGGAGAGTGCACATGGAAAGAACTAAAATGGGACACAAGACCTAATGTGGAGGCTGGATACACTTTTATAAGGGGTTCAGAGATGTGCAAGTGGGACCATATGTGCTCCCTCATCTTTGGGTGGAACACCTGGAGGGACTGCCTAAGGCTTTCAGTCGGAAGAATGAAAGGCTACAGGACTGGATTGCTTTAGGATGTTACACATGACCAAAGTGAAACAGTTCTCCAGCATGTTTAGCAGCTTTTGCATCATGTCCAATGGTCTTTTCCTTTATGTCCCTTTCTCTTTCAAACTTTTCCATTTGATCCCTTGACAATGTCTCAGCATGTCACACACGCCTTTGCTTTCGAGCTTGTCTTGCGACACAAACTTCCTTTCTTTGGGCACTTTGCCTGCCGCTGGAATCCCTTCATAAGGCTAGAGATGAAGAAGGATGTTTGCCTTCTCTTTCCTCAGGTTTACCAAACGATTAGTAACATCCCTTCCTCTGTGGGCTGAGCCATGCAAGATGCTAGGAGAACAGAGAAATCAAAGGAACAATTATTAATCTAGTAAGTGTTATTAAAGCGCTAGTTCCTCATATTTTACATCTCATTGCCCAACTCTCAAATTTCAATCCCTTATTCTCCTCCCAGACAAGATAACCTCAAATGGCAGCCCTTTTTTTTGTTCCACTTGAGCTGTTGTCCTATATCGCAGCAATACCCTTTAAGAAAACAACGGGTAAGCATATGTTTTTATGGGAAAGGCCAGCTTTTTAAATTCAGACAAATTAATCTTTTCACAATTATGTTTTTAAAAAGCAAAGAAGTATTATTAAAGAAAGGCAAAAAGATACCTGGAAAAAGGTATGGACAGTGCCATATGCTCATATAACAACTGAGCTAGTTCTGGAAAGGAAATACTGCACACAGATATGCACACTAACATGCATATTACTTACAAACACCAGCTGATAATCATAAACCATTTTCAAAATGAACATAATTTTGCAGACATGATGTATGCTTTTTGTTTTCTTGTTTAACAATGAAGTGTATGGCAAAGCAAGAAAGCAAAAAGGAGGAAGCCAGACACCTTTTACAGCTTCTGCAATTACAAACATTTACAGATGCAACACTTGGGAAAAGCGCCTTAAAACCAATTGGCAAGTATATTTAAAAGTTAACATTTTTATAGATGTCGAGTTAAAAACCTTAAGGCATTAACCAGCTTTGGTTTCAGCTTTTCCTTTCCATTTTCACTTCACAAAACTAAGACTGATTGAAGTCTTATCAATTAAGATAATCCATACTGTTGTATCTTCATAAACTGGTAAGAATGGACTAATGTGAGGCAAAGACAATTAAAAAGCAGAAAAATTTACAGTATTAGGATTAGGGCTATATAGTGCCTTTGGCATCTGCTGCTGTTTAACACAATTGGTATGAACAAGTTTTTTCATTAATTAATAGTTCTAGCCTGGCTATAATTTCAGCTGTACCATAAGAAAGGGAGAGCCTGCTGCACTTAAGAGAACCATAACAGCCTTGTCCACAATCTGCTGTACTAACATCCATGGGATATAAAGGCAACATCTGCTACCTGGAAGAAGCACTTTTGAATTTCCTTGAATCTGCACATACAACATAGTACAAATAAGAAGATAATCTCTGTACTTACCAAATGAGGTTCCCTCTGCAGGACTATCAATCTATTTTCCTGGAAGGCATCATATTTGATCTTCCATAAAATAGTCTTGGCTGTCCAGAGAATTTATCTTCTAGTTAAGAGTCCATAAGTGCCCGCGTAGCTTCCAGTTTGTTTCTGCTTTAGTCTGGCCACAATGCTCACCAATCCAGAAGAGCCTCTCTGCCAACTTCAGCTCAATCTCACGCAGCACACATGTCCTGGGGATAATTTTCTGAAGGCTTTTGTATTTGGTGTTCTTAATAAATCTGCATCAGGTTTCTTGACTGTGATACACATCCCTGAATTACCTCTTTCCTGGAGATTTGTTCAACTACCTAGTGCTGGATGGTGCCATTGATCTCCTTGCTACTGGGAACATGATCTAAATATGGGCACTTATCTCTTCAAGGCGAAAGGGTCCAGAATCTTTGTTGGAAATACAGGGGGATGGTCAGTTTTAGCGGTCTAATTCTGCAAAACCTGGAGCTGCAGCAAACAGATGCTATCGGTATATCCCAACATGAACAGGAGGAAGACAGCTGGTCTGGAGGATACTAAAGCAATGTGTATGTGGAAAAGCTACTAAAGCAGTATTAGGAACCTGGACTTGGCCCCTGTTCACACCAACCTTACAGTGGTGTGGTTTACTCTGAAACTGAGGTATGTCACTTCAAGGCAAATAAACTGTAGTTTGATAACCAACTAAAAGAATTAGTGAGGATATAGTTTTGGTTTGTGTTAATTTTAAGTATAAAATCTTTCCAGTTTAGACCAGGTCTAAGCCATCATGTAGAAAAAATCAGTTTAACAGGGAAGGCCTCAATTCTACAAACAGTTACATATATATTTAACTTTGGTTCATTACTAATTTATATCATTCCTGTGAATGAAAACATTCACTTCTTTTAAGTTAAGCATAAGTGGATATATTTGTATGACAAGCCAGATTACAAAAATATAAGAGTTGCAAAGCAGTATTTTGAGTGTTTCTAAGCATAGTACTGAAATGTTATGTTATTAAACAGCAGGAATAAGGTCATACCCAACAGAATCTGAGGGGGGCACTGAGGGGTACGATCCAGATGCTGGGGTGGTCTCTCCTAAGGAGGCCTCCTCCGGTGGTATGGGGTGATGTTCAAAGAACTTGGAGACAAACAGCAAACTGTGAGGCAAGAACAAAACAAAAACAACCTAACTTGTGCAAAACCCAGAAGCTTCACAATATAACACTCAAAGACTACAAGAAACCCCCAAAACCTCACTGATCAGAGTCTAAATTTTAAAATAAAGATTACATTTACACACTAAATCTGCAAGATTTGTTAAAAATACTTTAGAGAGGATCAGAAGATCATGCCTTAAACATAACCTCTGTGGAAAGTAATTTTTTAATCTTTTAGTTGCATTGTAAACATCTGGTTCCTCAAAAATGCACAACCTATACCTATATTGAGTACGTAAACTTATTTTAACATTTGCACTGATGTAATGCCAAAACCCAAATGTCAAATGGATACAACTACGTAATCCATAAACCCTGAGCACAAACTCTAGAGATGTCTATGTAAACAGTTACAAACATAAGATGAAACTAAATTAATTCTTAGGGGAAAAACGAGCATTTTAAATTATTCATTATACGAAAATCTATTTAGAAGACTTAATAGCCTCTTCTAAAACTGATGAAATAGAACATAGAGCCATTTTACACCAGATCCTTAACCTATATCAAAGACTTACACAAATAGATCAGTAACTCAATTCAAGAACATGACTGCTTAGGACATTTTCTTTTATGTTTCTTAGCTAGGCATTTATCTTGCTAACAGATTACTTTTCAATCTCTGTAAAACCAACTGCAATTTCACTATATTCAACTGGTTGAAGAGAATAAACACAGAGCTAAAAATTTAAACAGAGCCCCTAGCCATCACATAATAAAGAACCAGTTTTGATTAATAATAACAACTGTGAACAATGAGAAGTCTGTCTGTTATAGTCAAGTGCTCAGCAACCCTACTCATGCTTCAAAGAAAGCATTTCATAGTCCAGCAAAGAAATATGAACTGGTTGTCTGAGCTAGCACAGAAAGAATATGAATTAAGCAATTTCACAAGAACAGTGGAACCCCTATATTTTTTTTTCAGGCACCTTCTCTGACTTCCTCAATTCCAGATTTAACGTAAGAAACCACTGACAGTTGTAAACTTATTAGAAGGCTCAACTTGAAAACCAATTGTGATTACTTACTCAAGTTGGTCATAATTAACACACATCAGTGGCACTTCTGTACTACAGCGCTGGTGAAATTTGTAGCCACACGTCTGGCACCGGAACCCCTGGAAAAGCAGCTTTCGACAAAAGTCGCAGAACGCTAACGTGAAGAATGTTTTTCGTACCTACGTTGTAAGACATAGTCACAATTACACAGAGTCCTTCTGTAAACCTGAGACAGGCTACCTGCTTTTGTCTCCCCCAAATGCCCTCAATGAGCCTCCTTTTTGACGCTAGAGCTACAGTTCTGTGTATCAAACAGACTTGCATAAAAGATCGTCTCTCTTTGGAAACAGTATTCATGCATTAAAATTTTCTTTTGACTGTTTATTGGAATTAATGCTTCACTTCATTAGCAATAAGAAAGACAGCAGCAAATCTGAAGCAAAACGTCACTATTATCATGCTAGGGATGAACATTCAGAATTTAATTGGATACAACCTATAAAACCAAAAGCTGCTGAAATATTACCTTCTAATTTTTCCAGGGGCCAAATAATATTTCTATCCAACACTCACAGGACTGGAAATACATATATGTCTTATATATAAGGCTTCAATGTATGGTTACACATACAGTTGTAATTTTGATTACTGAAACTCAAACATTTAGAATCACAAAAGGGTGATCATGTATGATCCCCAAATCACAGGGGGGAGAAATGATTTAGTTAATTTTCTATTTTAGCAATACCTGGCATAAAAACACATTCTAGTTCTATTACTACCTGTAATGATCAAAATTTCAGAAGGATATTAAAAAAATGTTAAGCCTACTACATTTCATCTAACTAGCCATAGCCAAATTAGATTGAGTAAAATATTTTAAGCAGCTTGCAAATAAAATTTTGGAATTTTTAATATTGAAATAGAAGGTCTTTCTTCCCAATGTGACAAACATTATTTCCAGGATTTTGTATGAAGCTGGTACCATTTAGATGGATTTGGTTTAGCAGCTTCCATTTACTTGGTGCCTTATCAGGTCAAAACATATTTGTGCACTAGCATCATTGATGATGTCAGCACTGCTCTGGGAATAGTTAGTTCATTAGTTAATTGCTGCTGCAGAGCCAGCAGGGAGGCCCAGAATACATTTTATAGATACAGCAATACTAAAATAGTAGATTGTTATTACAGCTCTGCAATGCAGTGCTGACTTAAACCCCCTACATTTATAGATTTTAGAGGGTGTATTCCATCCAAACCTTAGAGTTTTAAGGGTGATCAAGTACTCTAACATCACTTACTTCAAATACAATTCTATCTAATTCACTTAAGCTACTGTGATTAAAAACTTTTTTTCCAACTCCCACCACATGCCACAGATAGAAAATATTCCAAGTTGCTGATTTGAATTTGAAAGTACAAAGTTAATGTAACCCTACTCAATATCTCACAAAACGAACATACGAAATTGTGTGTCGTGAGTGGCACATTCTCCAAGACTTCCACATGCAGCTCCTCTCCCGTGAGCCAGGAAATGTCTGTGTCCCAGCCAATTGGCTTCTTCTCTCTAAAGTGCAAATAAGCCTCTCATTAGCATCAGAGCACAAGCCCTTGCACGTCTCTTGCCGAAGTTGTGAGATCAGCTAAAATGTTGCACTGTGGGGGTTTGCTACTCAGGCTCCAAATGCCGGAAACTTTAAAGGCAAGACATGAAGCTCAGCACACAGCAAATAAAGCACACCCTCCATGGACAAACTGCATGAAGGAAATGCACTTTTTTCCAGTCAGCTCCCATAGTAGTCAATTCCTTGGTTCCAAGGTGATGGATGCCTTTCTGATCAAATAAAGTGTTTGTGAAAGTACCTGTTGCGTAAGAGTTCCACAGAGATGGCTGTGTGCAGTAAAATAATCTACACACTTTTTAGGGCTGAAAACTCTTTTTTCCCCCCAGGGAATTCTTGTTTTTAGTTAAGAATGCATGATAACCAAGTGAAATAAAACCAAGAAGTTAACACAACCTATTTAATACTTGTTTGGCTAGCATGAGTTTGATTAATGACTGTTTTGCCAGCAGTCTATAAGCCCATATTACTCAATATTACGCCTGAGCCTTTTTCTAGGAGTTTGCCGTTCTTTTCAACATGTCTTTGAGGTACAAATTGTTCTAGTGAAAAGTATCATACAATTCTCAACTTTGAAAAACAACTTCCACAATGCTGGATAGAATTGACCATACTGGGTAGCTTCAGTAAGAGTCTAAGAACAAAAGGCCATCCCACACAAACCATACCCATCTTGTATTCTGTAAACAGCACAGCATTCTGGAATAAGACCTCTCATCATCAGTGCTTTCTTTAGGCTGTCTCGGACTGTCACTCCACATCTTGCTGGAACCTAGAGGTCAAATAGGAAAGAAATGAATTAAAACAATTCCCAATTTATCTCCCCAAACTGATGCAAACATTTTGACCCTCAAGTGCTAAAACCCACTCATCATGATACATTACAGAACGGTAGGTCAGAGTTTTTCAAAACCTTTTTTGTAGTGGGGAAAACTTTACTGGTGAATAGTATATGTGAAACAGAGCTCAGATAGAAGAGAGAACAAGCTCTACACTTCTACTAACATTTGGAATGAAATCTTCATTCAACTCTAGAAGTGACTTTCCAACTTTTCTCAACTGGAAGAAACTGAAGACCCAGCACATGCATAGCTAGTATCTACATACAGCTATAATTTTACAGCCTGGCCTGAACTTCAGTGGGGAAACATGCCAAGTGAAATTAGGTGAAGGAACTAACTTGGACTGCACTCAAGAAAACATTACTATAAAATGTAAATATTTTATTTTCTATTTCTAAAACAGAAGATAAGCATGCAAACAAGTAAAACAAAACAGTCATCTGAGTCAGGCAGACCATTACCTCTCACTTTAACCTATATTTGCAACTCTACAATACTTCTTATATGAAAAATATATTCCTCTCTTCTGTTTCACTGTTTGAAAAGTTTAGATATCTAACAGGATGGGAAGAATGGAGGAGCACACTAAAAGTAGCCAAACTAAAAGAACTGTAAACTATGTAAAGATATTTTCTTTGCCTCTATTCTATTCTAGCTGTAGGTATATCTTATATAAGTAAGTACATCATCTCTAGGTGTACCTGTGGTGTAGGTATACAATTGTATACAATCTAGGTATATATCTATACAGTGTCAAGCCATTAAAAAAACCCCCAATATATATTCCGTAGTTAAGTATAGTTAAGGTGTTGAATATTATCTACTTACTATTTCTAGAACTCAACAGTGAAAATATGTAAGACTTCAGGTGCTGTACATACTGGGACATCTCCTACGATCATGGACAGAACTTCAAAAACAGATCAGAAGGAAAACTCACAAACCCAACAAACACAAGAAGCCTGCCTGAACATCTGAAACTCAATTCTAGTTTGCTAGTGGTTTAAGCCAGAGCCCTCAGCAGACAAATGCAGTCCTTTAATCAGCTTCAACTGGCTTTGGATCAGAGCCTAGTTTTTGCTCCTTGCACTTAACTTTCCATGGGTATTTAGGGGCTCTATGTCCTACTTAAGGATGACAGTGGAAAGTACCTTTGTGAACACCACTTGAGGTTACACTATATATTGCATCTCTAGAACTCAAACATATGTTCTTTCAGAAGAGACAAAATAAAGCAATATTTTGCTTCACCATCTTCCTCCCATTAACATCAAAGTGCTTCTTACAGGATATTTGTGCATTTCGTCTGGTCAACACAAACATTTAAAAAATAGAATTTCTCTTAATTCCTTGAAAAAAACATCCTATAGCACACTGCTTTACAAACTTGATACTTAGCCTTAAGTGACTTTACACACTACATTCCTGTTTAATGCATCTTTTTATTAATCTAAGGAATCCCAGAAGTTAGCACCACGGCTTTCAGTCACTTGTAGGTCATTCCTGCAGCATAAAATGTCCTTAGTTGTTACTAACACCCATCACTGATATTAAAAGGGAGCCTGGGAGCCCCTATTATCATTGATACGGTCAACAACATTCCATTGTAAAACTCAGCCCTCTGTTGCTTAGGTCTCTTCCAAAGTAATTGTTCACACCAAAACCAACTGTTCATAGGGTCTGTGACTGGTTTCCCTGCTCCCAACCTCTGGAACATGGTCAGTATAACCAGCACCATTTTATGAGGCAAGCAGCCATTCCCTGTGACTGAGCGGGTCATGTGTTTGCTCTCTTTCCCCTCATTATCAATCCCTGAAGGTCCTGTCAACTAAGGAGACAAAAGGAAGAGATTTATTCTTCCCCTCCCTACAGGTTTCAAGGTTTCTGGGTGCCAGGCTGGCTGCTCCCTCCCTTGCCAGCCCTCAAGGTGCCAGGCACCCAGGGCCACCAGGTGGTGGCAATGGCCTGGCCACAGAATGTGGGAGTCTCAGAGCTCCCAGGACACTGTCTCTAAATCGAGCAGCCTCCACTCCTAAGGCAGGAACTTGGACCAAAGCTGCTGCTGGACAGTGAGATCTGGGACCTACCAGTGCCCAGGGATGTCCTCTCCTTCCTCCAAGGATTGAGGGAGTGACTCATTCTTTTATATGAATGGTGAGTCTAGATTACGATTGTTATATTGATATGATGTATTAAAGATTTGTCTTGATCTGCAAAGGGTCCAGAAATAAATGAGGTTGTATTATAAATTCTGTATTATGCTACTTATAAATCGTACAATACTGATTCTACTTGTAAAAATCACATGCTATTCTAATCACAAATTGTGTTAATATCTTGTTACGAAAATAATTATTTAATTGTACCTATGATTAGTGCCATGATCATCATTCTGCCAAGGATCCCTCAAAGAACCTGTCTGTGCCCTCAGTGTCGGGTGACAAGTTCTCCTTGCCTACAACATATATACATATTTACAAATACAGAATAAGTATTTTTAAGAATATGACTAAAATCTCTGAGGATTTCAGAGTGTGCTCCAACCTCCCCCACACATTAGGTCCAACCATGAGACATTTTGATGGAGCAAGCAAGTGTTCTTTGGCTCAAGGCTATTTTTCCTCTAAGTATAGCTCCTGCTGGATTGAGGTTGACTCCCCACAGACAATTCAGGTCTACCTTTCCAGCAACCTCAGTCATTTCACCACTGATATCCACAGTGGAAGAAGAAAGTGAAATACTGAGAAGGTGACAGACAGACAATGGGGACAAAAAGGGAAATGAAGAGAACGAGGAAGGTGGTTGGGCATGAAGCAGAAATGGGAGGAGAGAGTCAGGACAAACTTAAGAACTGACCAGAGAAAGCACGTGTCTACTGGGAGAGGGAATTGCTATCAGCAAGTTGGTGGGAAACAAACATGCAGGACAGAGGGAAGACAGTCTGAAGAGCTAAAGGAGGTAGAGGACAGGAAACAAAGATGTGATGAACTACCTTGTAGGGGAGAACTGGTTGCCAACAGTTGGAGAAGTATTGGAAGCACATCCTGAACAGCAAGCTTTCATGCTGTGATTAGGAGAAAAGGTGGCTTCCCTTGGATAAGGAGCATCAGAGGGAAGGAAGTGCCTAAAAGAAGCCTTAGAACCCAGCACAGATTGGGAAGAGGTTCTAGCTCAGGCAGAAAACTCCAAGGCAGTAAGTATTAAAAGAAACCAGGTTAGTAAAATCTTGACCTAGGTGAGGGAACAGAACAAGACAAGGAGGAAACACCAAGCAGAGGGAAGGTGACTAACATTAAACAAGAGATAAGGAGTCTTGGGCTCACTGGAAGACATTTGCTTCCTCCAGCGCTCCATAAATGATGACAACATCCTCCAGTAACTCATGAAGCAAAGATCTGCATCAGGAACCTAAAAGTCCCAATGCTGTTAATGAATTACACTGGTGTAAATAATGTCATTTCAGGTGATTTCTATTTTTTTTTCTTTTCATTTTGCCAAAAATCAAGATTTATGAAGTTACAGTGTTTCTTTTAAGAGATCAATAAAGTCAGAAATGCAAACTCTCAAAACTTGGGAAGTATCAGAATGAAGGTTGCCTACAGCAATGTAAGTGCAATAGGATTATGAAAAATGTGCATTAAACATCTTGCTCACTCATAATTTGCTATTTCTCAGTATTACTTCCCCAAGTCCCCTTCATTAAAATCCAAGCCATATTTATGCAACTTCCAATTAGAGACATGGGTAGAACATTTGTTCTCTTCACTGCCATTTGCAACAAGATCCAGCTAAAAACCAGAGAATTGTTTTGATTACTTTCAAAAATCACCACGATCCTGAATCAGCATCACATTTAGAAAATTCTCCTACAGAACTCCTGAGCAGAGAAACATAAGGCTAAATTAAAAGAACTTAGTGCTAGAATAAATCCCTGTAGTATTGATTAATCATTTTCCCAGACTGGTACAGCATGGTCTATCACCATCTGTGCATGTAGCCCTTCAGCCCCCTCCTTCAGTCCCTATCAGCACCTGCTGTAAAGCAGAAATACCACCCTACAAAGCACTCCCTCTGAAACTTCTTCCTGCCCCATCCCCTTTTTACCCCCAAAATATGGCAAAGTTAAAGAAAAACCCTGCTCCAAGAAAGTGATTTGGAGAGCAACTCAGAGTTAAGAAAAAAAACCAAACAACCCAATTTTTTTCCCAGCTAACAGACTCTGAAGCAGGAATTTTGGAACAGCCTCTTGCTCACCCCCAGCCAGAGGGAGGGTGTGCAGCCCCACAGAGAGCTCAGAGAGCCGGAGCCCTGCAGTCCCCCACACAGGGAGCCCCGGCTGCCTGCCAGGAGCCGGCAGCTCCCGCACAGCAGGCAGGCACCACGGCGGGTTTATCGATTCCATCAAGACTTTTGTCAGGATTCCCACAGAGCATTTGAACTGAATCACATCAGCATTTTTTGACAAAATCAGTTCCCCATGAAAATGTTTCTCATCTACTCCAAAATACGCACTCTCGTGACTGCAATCCAGTAAACTGAACAAAGTTTGCATTGTATTGAAACACAAAGTGCTTAATTTTATTTCAAATCCATTTAGTGTCATCCCTTATCTTTTTACCTGTTTTATAACTAAGAGACTCTAAATACGTTTCACAACGGTTATCACCTAGAAACTCACATCACTGAACTAGGGGATGTACTCCCAAATTGTGATTGCTAAGGGCTTTCTTTTTAGGATACTTATATACCTAAGATTTGTAGATCAGAAAAGGTTTAGGCTTTTATAGCAACTTGAAAGTTGATTCAGAAACTTTCAAAAGTGAAGACTATGAAATAGTGTGGGCTATACAATACTAGGGAATAGTAGAGAAGCTGCCAACAGAGACTGTGAGGTGCGTTCAGTGCGTAGCTTAATAATATACGGGAGAAA